TTTAAATTGTTTGTTTAACAAACAACATGATTCATTGCTATTGTTTTTTTATGAAATTGTCTTTTGATCTTCTATTGTTGTTGCTTCTTCTATTTTATGGTTTTATATACCAATAAGATTTGGATACCTCTTGGATGCACCTATTTATTGGTTGATGTTGTTTAGACTTACTAGAAATTTGAAATAACTATATTTTGCTATCCGATAATTGGTATTTTAATTAAATTTAGTAAATTTTCTAATTGGTGAAACATTAAAAACTTGTTGACGTATGTTTGCAGTTTTGTTATTACTGAAATAGTTTGTACACCAACAAGATAGTTTAGAGTAATATAGTTAAGGTGAATTTAAATAAACGTTCTTAGCATAATTCTTTTGTAGTGCACATTAAACCCAAAACTCATATATATATATATATATATAAATGTTTCTGCAACTATATATCACTTTTTATTTTTCACCAACTGATGTTGTTGGTTATTCTGAATGCTTTTTATCTAACCAAAACATATAGTCTCTGTTACTCAATTAAATATGGTCGGATGTAAAATATACAGAAATAAAATTGCTGATTTAAGTGGTTTGGTTGAAAAGATGGTTCAGATAAATTGGTATTTGTGATAAGTTATGTGTTTTCCTGTACAATATGAAGCAGTAAAAAATTTGGAGTGTTTTTATCTTTGCAATGTTTTTTTTTTTCATTTTGAAGTATCTCAGTCTCTTAGAGATCCAAACTAATTTCTAAAAGACGGTGCAGCACACAGAAATATTTTTACTCTAAATATTCAAATGGACCGTAGAATAAACTCATATCTAGGGGTTGGTGTTCAGATACATGTTCGGGTTCGGATAAGGTATTTTGGATTTTCGGGTATTTCGGTATAGAGGTTTAGTATCCGTTTGGGTAGGTTCGGTTATTTCGGATCGGGTACGAATATTTAGATTTTGAAAAAATTAAAATTGTCATTCCTTAAATTTCTGTATTTAAAAATATATCTTTAATCTAACTAACTTTTAATTTTTAATATGATGAGTAATAGATTTAGAGATTGAAATTAAAAAAAAAATATTAACTTAATTGTTAGTTTTAAAATTTTGGATGCAATTTTTATTAATTTACGAAATAAGAACTTGGGATGTCTTTTAAATGAGTAGTAAATCACTTTATCAAAATTATATATATATATATATATATATTATCTTATTTTAAAACATACTAGGTATTTTCCCGTGCTCATGCACGGGTATGAGTATTTATAAAAGTAAAATTTTATAATAATTGATTGATATTTAGTTTTAGTTTTGAATAAATTTCTATATATAATTTATATTAAGAAATATTATATTATTCTAATTATACATATGACTTTGGATATATTATTGTCGATTTAATTATTTTTTGGATCAATAGTTGGTTTGGTTATCAATTTGGTATATTGGATAATATTCATTTTTTGAATTCAGCTATAATATTTTTTTATTCTAAATATAATAAAACTTTGATTAATTTTCTTATTTTTCGGTTGGTTATTGTCTTAAATATGTAAATATACTATAGTTAAATTATGTATAACTTAATACATATTGTGCTTAAAATGAAATAAATTATAAGCTGAAGTATTTAATTCACAATTACATAAATGAATATAATGATAATATTTTGAAGTCTCATGAATATATATAAATTCTACAAAAGAATTAAATTGTAATTGGTTAATATTTTATTTTTATTTTTAATATGAGTCAACCTCTAACTTATATGTATAAAATTAAATAGATTATTATTATTTTTATTATTATGAAATTATATGCTCTTATTGTAGTTAGATATTTAATTTTTGATATAAATTAGATTAGTCGAGTCGTTCGTTTTGTGAGTATATTGAGTTAAATATATTTTTAAATTAAAATTTGAAGTATAATTACTTTTCATTTTAATTAAGTTCAATCAAATTAGTTTTATTTATCGCTTAAATATACATGTATTTTCATAATATTTATCAAATTATATGTTGATTTCTAAAAAAAATATTAGAAAATAAAGCGTAACTGATAAATTTTTGAATGTTCATGAACATATATATTTTTATTATTTTGAAAATATGTTTTATGTTATTTAAAAATATATATTAATGGGGATATTACTATTTTGTGAACTTTCCTTTTTAATAAAGTCATATTATATACATATATTTTCGTTTTAAATTTGTTTTAAAATTTTAGAAATATTTCCTCTTTACTATTATATGTTATTTGGAAAAAGGTAAAAAAGAAATTGAATAAAAAATTAATAATAAACTTAAAATCTAACAATTCATTAAGGGTGTCTATGTAATCAACCATTTTGATAGTTAACGTGAGTACGACACGTAGGAAACTGACTTCTCAAATAATATTATAGAGATATAAAGTTAATATAAATCTTTTGGAAAAAAATAGGAGATATAAAATAGAATATATGGCTAAATATACATATGTTTGGTTATATTCAGATATCCTCAAGTATTATCCATACAGGTTCAGATAATCAATCTCACTTAATTCAATACCCATTCAGATATTTTATTAGGATAAAGTACTCAGTTCTACTCATATGGTTGAGACCACAAGATAAAATGTAGTGGATAATTTCAAACTTGGGTTGCTTAGCACCAAAATCCACTTACCACTAGATCACCTATCCACTTACCACTAGATCACCTTGGAAATGCAGTGCTTTTCTGGCTAATAAAATTCAGGTTTTTGATATGTTCCCGGTAAACTACCATCGATCATAGTTTTGCGTAGCTTCCAAAATTGGTAACAACGTGTTCAGTTCATGTCAGATTGATGAACAGCTCATGAAATTTTCATGCTGTGTGGTTTGTTTGCTTGAAACATTCCCTAAACAAGCTTTTAAAAGTATGTTCTTACATGTCCAATCTACTGCAACAACACTAGCAAGAAAAAAGAAAAGGAAGTCTCTCTATGTTTCACATTTCGGTAAGGATCAAAGAAGATGCAATTACAACGTATGCAAGGAACAAGAATAATCCTACTTGAACTAAAAATCGTGGATTTTCCCTCATGTTAGGGGAAGTCACTGACCTGTAAAAAGAAAACCTCTTTATGAGTCTATGAAGAGTTTTTCCATATACAATAAAAGCCAACCAAGAGGAGAGATTGATCTTTTAACCTTGCGATTCGCTGGGAGAGCCGATGAAATGGTAAACTTTGGATAAACACAATGCCTGGTCCCGTCAGAGTCGCTGTTACTACGTTATCACCCTTTTGGATAAAAACATAGAAGATTGTAGAGATGTGAGTAAAAGATCATTTTGCTAGGAATGGAAACAAAAAGAAGCAACGTACCCCGAACACTACCCGTCTTACAGGTGCAGCATGGTAGTTGATTCGGAAATTGATGGAGGGAGTGAGAGCGGCAATGCAAGAAATGTCAATGGTGAGAACTTCTCCCACCTCCAGGTTTTTCTGTACAACTTATGAAGCAAGTGAACTAGGATCAGTTCTTTTGAGCGGTGGGTATAATAAGGCCTTAAGTTGAGACAAACTTTAGAAGCATACCAGAGCCACCGGCAGTAATAAAAGCAAGTCCCTGGCCAGATAGCCTTTGTCTCAGAAACAACTGCAACAAGGATTACCCTGAGTTATGGTCAGAGAAATATATATACTTTCTCACTGTGGCATCTAAAAGGAAGTAACTAGGAAGGATATAATAAGCTATTGTTTTCCATACCTCAGCGCCAGCCACAGCAATGTTTCTAGCTCTATGTCTCTGGTAAACAGAGTTTACAACTTTCACATCATGGACAGAACAGAGAAATGCATCTGGCTACACAACAAGACGAAAAGATCACATCATTGAGTGTTGGTTTGAGGGGAATACATAAATATAACAAAGAAAAATTGATGGTTTTGTGGTTCATCAGCTATACCTGGCACAGGATGTCCCCACCGAACATTGCCAAATCAATCTTCACATAAAAAAAACACATAAGGATAAGACCAGAATGCTTAGTAAGTATCATACTCAATAATAAAAGAAGGCGGAAGAAAATTATGGTAAGGTAGGGGATGATTAACTGGAAGAATCCTTGCCAAAGAAGGTGCAGCAATACCGACAAAACCATCATTCTGCCCGGTATTGCGAAGAAGTACACTACTAACACTCTTGCCTAAAACCCACTGTACAACACCAACTTCTTGTTCAGGGGTATAAGTATTCTCCATCTCAATGGAACCAGACATGTAACACATTGAACCTACACCACCATATATCAAATTCAGCTAACGTATTTACAGTCTATGCTTACAAAGATGAGACTAGAAATTACCAGGCTTAGCAATGACCTTCTCCTGTGGTTTTAACATTATCTGACAAGACAAATACAAATAAAAAACGGTTACAAAAACTGGAGAAGAATAACAAACATAAACACACAAAAACAATGTTTAAACCTTACCTGAACAACCTGTGCTTCACCACCCAGAATTTGGAAAGGTGTAACTGTATCTTCTTGACTCTGCATCAAAACAAGAAGAGATTAATATATGATAAATTCAAATCATCTTTTGAACACTCAGGAGTGGTTATTGCAAAACTAAATTAGCTTTGGATCAGGAACACTAGCCTTACAGAGACTTTGAGAGAAGATAACCAACCTGATAGACATAAGGCTGAAACGGAGTAGAGAAAAACGGAGCTGCCATGTCTGGTGGATTAGGATACGATAAACGTCGGAGTTGATGCGAAACGATCAGATCGCAGATCCAAAATAACACAGTCCGTTCTAACTGTTCCCGGTGGATGATGATGTGACCGACGGAAGCTACCCGAATTAAATTCGCTTAAATGATATATAAGTCTACGTGGAGCTTATTGCGTTGATTCTGCTTACGTGGATAATTCTCATTGGCGTACAGGATGCAAGTCTGACGTAACTTTAAAAACCCGGTTTAATTTGATTTCGTTACGTTTTTTCTCAATCAAACCACTGATTTGGTAATCAAAACCGGTTAAACACTCGATGGTAAATTTGGTTACAAATCTTGGTATAGAAACTACAAATCAAAAACTTACAAAAGCCTAAACATAACTTACAGAGCTGCAACACCCATCTCACCACAGTTTAGACCCGAGCCAAGTGGCTTTATTGTATTTAATATTAGAAACAAAGACAGTTTCCTATATATAACCAAACCAACACAAAACCATTCATACCCAATTCATCACCAAAACCTCAAAGTGGAGACAGATGAAACATCTTATCTCTATCCGACCGGCAAAACTTAACCAAATCTTGCATCTATCACTGCAGACCAACACTGAAAAAGCTTTGGTTAATCGAACCCGGAAACAAGAATCACAGAAATGTAGTTTTGAGTTCAACTACTACAAGCATTGAACTTCCTCATCATCTCTACACTATCAGCTATAGTGGACCCTGCAGTACCAACGAACCCCAGTGAAGCACAGCTGCAAACAGCTTCCTCTACGTATAGTTGTACATTTGATACTTTCTTAGGAGAACAATGCTTCTTCATCTTCTTTATACTGTCCATACTCATCGGAATAGACCCAAATTTCTGTCCATGACCAGCTGAAGCAAGCTCCTTCTGTGTTCTCACAACTACATCATCTTGCTCCCTTAGAAAATGGAGCTTGAACTTCGTAGAGTTCCTAGACAAATCACCCAAGTAAGTCCCAGTCCAATTGCTTTCAGGAAGATCAGTCATCACAAACACATGAACAGGACCAGAACTCTTCAAACTCAAAGATTCCAGCTTCTGCTTTAAACCCAAAAACGTCCCCTCCTGATGATTCTTGAACTGTCCATCAAGCAACCTAAGCTGCGCGCAAAGAAACGGTGCCTTTATCGTCCCCTTGGCAAACCTCTTCCCCGCACTCATTATCTCTCGAACAAAAGGAAGAAACTCAACCTTCTCAATCAAAGACTTCACCTCAGGAACACTAGAAGACTTAGGTATATCAATATAAAGCTCAGAACCTTTATACGGAGCCGTGAATAAACTCCCAAACGCAAGTATAGCCACAGACTCAGCTTCTGAGCCACGTCCAAGAGCCTTATACACATCTCTCCTCCTCCTCACGTAACTTAACTTCTTCTTCTTCTTAACCTTCTCATCCGCCTGGAAAGAATCCAACCTCCCATCAGAACCTCCGTTTCTATACGTCCAAACCGTAGTTCTACAATCATCATCAACACCGTACAAACACCCATCCACATTCCCACGAACTCCAGACAACAAATAACCACACCGTCTCAACGACTCATAAGCCTCAGACTCTTCACCTAACTCCCCACAGAAAGTCTCCAAGTCAACACCACAGAGAAGCGACGCGAAGTACCTAAAGTCAATAACTCTAACAGTCTCGGAAGACACAAGAGACGAGATATCCACAACATCACCCATCGAGACATACTTCCCTTCCCTAAGCAGCTCTATAGAATGATTCCAAACCGAGACACGAACCTCGCTGGGACTCAAAACCCTAAATTTCGGACAGCTACCGAGAGCGACAGCGTGGTGATCAAGAACCGGGGGAACGACAAGGGTCCTGTTCAGAATCGAGGACATTAAGACAGCGTTCTTGAATTCCGACAGCTGGTTGCTGAATCCACTGTGTGGAGCGTAGAGGAGGAATCTCTGGCCAAGGAGGGCGCGGGTTAGCGTCTCGGATCTGCATTGAGGGAACTCGACGGATCCGGAGAAGGAGGAGATGGAGAAGAGGGATTTGGGTATCTCGGAGTAGGTGATGAAGAAGAAGAGGGAGAGGAAGAGTAGAGAGACGGAGCAGAGACAGATGGCGGGTTTGTTGGTTTGTTTCTTTCGGTTCGGCCATGGCTTCGGGCCTGGTCTAGTGGGGTTGAACAAGTTGTTCATGTTTCTTTTTTGGTCGAGATTTCTGAGTGAGATGTCATCGTTGTGGTTATGGTTTTTGCTCGTGTGTAAGAAAATTGACAGAACGCTGCGTTTAGATATTGGGCCAAATTGTGGTTATGATTATGAATATGTGTGTTCGAATACCCGTTAAGAGACGAGCTTTTGGGGGTTTGGACTTTTAAGATTCTATTAAATTTTATAAATGTCTGAGTGGAGCTGGTTATTAGTACTTTGGATTTTGATGGATTTTATAACTGTATAAAAATTAATTTTAGATTTAAATGGGTGAATTGGTTGAAAATACAAGAAGAATGTAGTAATTAGGAAAATATCTAAATATTGTGGGGAAATAATGATGATGGAGGGAAAAAAATTGGGGGGATGTTAGGTATGAAGTGCAAATATGGTAAATGTTGTAGGTATGGAGTACAAATATTCTTAAATTTATTTAAAGTTACGATTAATAATATTTCAAATTTGAATATTTTTATGATTGGATCAAAATAATTATGGAACTGAATGTTTAAATACTAATTTAGATTCTAAGAGCTAGATCTCTAAAATGAGTTGTTAATATAGTATAAGATACATCTCCAATTTTTTAACTACAAAAACTAATAAACGTTTCTTATATATATATGTTTTTAAGAAATGTTTTTTAGTTTTTTTTAGTTAAAAGTTAAGAGATGTATCTTATGTTATGGTAAGAACCTCGTCCTAAGAGATTCGCATTAATCATAGAGATGTTTTTTAGTTTTTTTTAATTTAAAAGTTAAGAGATGTATCTTATGTTATGTTAAAAACTTCGATGTTCTAGAATATTCGCATTAATCATGTTCTAAACATGCATTTTAGATACTTTTGAATCTACAAATCAAGTTTTTTAGAAAAAAGATCGAGTTTAGATGATATCTGATACCCGAAATACCACCCTGTAGAATCCAGTTCAGTTACATATGTTGAAATCCAGTTCAGTTACATATGTTGAAATACAGTTGAGTTACATATGCTGAAGTCTAATTATAGCTGACAAACTGAAAATAAATAAATAAAATCAGGGGAGAAGAGAAGAACATCTTCATCAGAAACTTAATTATTATAAATCCTAAAACGCTAAGCAGTTTTAGTACATCTTTGAACAAGGTTAAAGGGTTATACTAAACCAAAACAAAGGCAAAGGCCAATAACATTTTTATCTTCAATTCTTTTCCACCCTAATAAACAAAGCTGAACTAAGCAGTTAAAAACAAAACGAAATAAAACAATCTTTATTATTGAAGTTAATATAACCAAGAACTAATCCGAGAGCCCCAGCCCCTGGACCTGTCTGCAAATTGTTGTTGTTGACAGTCATGTTAATGACAGTGAGTCACTTGGCTACAACTAAAATCTGAAAGACCAATGCATCAGGCAGATCTTTGGACAGCATGAATCACAGAGTTCATGTCCGAACCACCACCACCACCACCACTGGTTGGATTTGGATGAAAAGCTGATTGCCTCGAAGACGAACCTCCAACGAGTTTCAACGAAAGAGACTGTTCTGATACACCGTTTTGGCTAGACTCCCCGAGGCTGAGCTTAGACATGCCAAGAAGCTGATCAACATTAATCGGTGCTGCTTTTGAGTGGACAGCTGTTGGCCTGAGGATCTCGTGAGTCTCTTCCTTTGCCGGCTCGGTGGCATACGCAGCAGGCCATACCGGGAAAGGGAATGAGTAGAATGGTGAGAAGTAAGTCGGGTACAGCACAGGGAAAGAACCAGGTGGCTGTGGTTGTGGTTGTATCTGCGTTTGGACGTTGGTGTCTTCTGGTGTGAAGGAAGAAGAAGAAGCTGTTACAGTTGGCGGCTCCTCAGCACTAGAGTTGGTGGATTTCATGGATTCACACTCCTCTGTTTCGAGAATCAACGGTGCTGGAACAGAGTCAGTGCTCTGCATTTGTGTTTCCATAGGAACGTCCTCTGCTTGCGGTTCTTGAGAATCCACCATAACGTCTGTTAACTGCTATTAACATAACAAAAGCCAAAAAAAAAAAACTATTTACATTTTGGAGTGTAGACCCATAAGGTGAACTTTACAAGCACAAAAACAAAAGAGACTAACCTCATCAGGAATCATATCAAAGAGACTAGAACGTCTCTTGCGGCGAGACACATTGGACTGTCTAATGAAATACTTCTGAGCATGACTTGCAACTTGAGTAGGTGTCCTCGTTGTCACATAGCTCCTAGAGATACCTCTCCAATCTCCTTTCCCCAGCTTCTGTAAACCCATCAAAAACATCCTATGCTCCTCTTCTGTCCATGGATTCCCTAAACAGTATCCATCACACACACAAAAAAAAAAAAAAAACATCAAATCCAAAAAAAAAGTCAGATAATTTACAACTAATTCCCAAAAGGGTAAAATCTAAAAAAACCATATGATATCATTCAGAAACAAACATGTAATGATAACATCTCTGTAATCAAATAACCAAAAAAAAAAAAGTCCCATAAAGTTGGAAACGCATAGAGAGAACTAAAGATACCTTTCTTCCTCTCGCGGCTAGAAGAAGAGCCAGGAACAAAATCCTCAGAGGCGTAACCGTCGCCGACGCCGTGGTCATGACCATCACCAGGAGAACCCGGATTGTTCGACGAGCTTCCACCAAGCCCGCTCAATCCAGAGCCAGAGTAGTGGCTGAGATTACCCATACTAGCACTTTTCCGGATCGAACCCTCCGTGAGACGGACACCGAAGAGCTTAACGCCGCGATTCGGACATGTACGTGAGTTGTGGCCATTTTGATTGCAGTGAGAACAACGGCGAGTCATGGCCGTTGATCGGATCTGATCGGACTCGAATTCGGGTGGTCCTCCGCCGTCGATCGGATCGAAGGATAATCTCGGAAGCACAGAATCTGATGAACGGTAATAGAGAGAGAAGAGAGAGACAAAGGGATGTTTATCTGGTCGGATTTATTACACAAAAATAAAAAAATATAGTAACGAGTTATATGCTTGTGTCACAGGTAGATTTTTTTTTTTCTTTTTTCATCTTTTCGTTGACTTCTAGTCAAAGGAATTGATTTCAGTTTTATCAATTTTTTTAATTAAGACTATTTCAATAAATTCCTTCTTCTTCTTTTTTTCTGATAAATCGTTGCAAGTATGCTCATAAATTTAAATGTAATATATTGACTAAATACCAAAACATGTAAATTCTTATGGTGCTATAGATTTAGACTGTTTTTGTTTTCAGTATACATATTGAAAATGTTGTTTTCTAGTGTAAACCGTATTTAATTTAAGATAATTTCATTTTTTTACATTCATAAATCAAGAACATTTTCTCTTATGTACAATAGAAAACAAATTCTTTTTATTAGTTTGGAGATTTGGTTTTCAGTTCTATTTATTATTTGGTATTTTTTTATCAGAATACATATTAAATGACTCACAAATAGATGATGGATTTTGTTTCAGAAAACTAAGCATTGCCATAATTTATTTATATTTTATAAATACAAAGTAGTTATTAGTTTATGGTTGAATGAGATCATATATTAATCTAAATTTTGTTACCATTTTGTTATGTTTTAAATTGATCCAACTTTTTTTTTTTTTGAAAAAGGGTTTTAAATTGATCGAACTTTAAAACCGAAAAAAATAGTTCACTGTGTGTTTTAATTTAATAGTGTTAATTAGGTGAGATTATATTATATGTGTTTACTATTATTTTCTTATCCACATGAGTAGATCATATACTATATAGTTTCATTTTGAAAAACTCTTTGCTATATCTAGAAATTAGAATGTTACAACGTAATCAACATGAAACCACATCTGTTAATAGCTGCCACAAGTAACAACTTTGAGGAATGCTAAACATGATTAAGCAAAGAGGTTCACGACTTAATCTGTTGCTCGAAGCACATACGTGTATAGTCATGATTCATGAGAGGTGATTGGATTTAGATAAGTAGGACCCACTTATCTCAGCCACGTGGTCACAGTAGAACGCCTATTAGCCGTCCACGTGGCTCCCTTCTTACCGTGTTATGTTTCACTTATTGGGCCTGCGATACTCGGTCAGTATAAGGTTAATAGTAGATTTGACTAATAAAAATGAGAAGCCCGTCGATTTATATGGCCCCAAAAGTTGTTTAGCCTAAACGTGATAATGATGTAGATCAAGATAATCAAATTAAGAATGTCACCATTTTATGAGTTAATAATATCAAGTTTGACCCGAAATTATGCTTATTTTTTTCGCCGGACACATCAAAAAAATGCTACTAGCACCAAACATCATGTTGATTGGCTTTATTAGCATTTTACTACATAATACAACAATGATTTTTTTTCTTGATAAAGATAAATATACAACTCCTACCCAACAACAATGATTTTTATTTGATTGCTACTCCAAAGATGACAAAACGAACGCAATCATATCCACTTAAATACCACAGTTAATTCTTTGGTCAATTTATTAGCAAATGAATGAAGAAGATACTCGCAAAGTAATTCAGAGCATGCTAGGTTATAAGAAATTTTAGCACTAGTTTCTCGAGTTTCTGAAATAATTTACAGCAAAAAAACAAATATTTTTATGTTTATATTTAAATTCACTTTTGGAAAAACATATGCTGGGATATTGTCAGTAGTGATGCTCAAAGCTGGCCCTAGTTAGAAATCAACGAAACATGGACCTCCGACCTTCATATTATTAACTATAATATCAACCACAAAATAACCAAATATAGTAAAAATGATTTTACTTCACTAGTTGAATGCTCTGTTCTAAAAATCGGCCGCCTAGCCGCCTAGGCGGCCGCCTAGTCGCTAGGCGATCCTCTTCCGCCCCGATTTATGCCAAATCGCCGTAGAAAATCGGTCGTCCGATTTTAACCCGCCTAGACCGCCTAATGACCGCCTAGCCGCCTAGGCGGCCGCCTAATCCATTTTTTTTTTTTTTTAATATTTTTTATCTATTTATTTGTTTTAAAAATTAATAAATTATAATTTTGATGAAATTATATCATATTAACTTTGTATATTCTATTTGTGTGTGTTTATAAGATTCTAAACATGAAAATGTATTAATATTATACACAATTAAAGATTAATATATCTTATACATATCAAATAGTTTAAAAATTCTACCCCGTATAATTTTCGCTTAATCCCCGATTTTCTCTCTAGGCGCTAGGCCCAATCGAGCCGCCCGACTAGCGCCTAGCGCATTCTTGAACATGGGTTGAATGTCTTTATTTTTTTATATGAGTTGACAGGTTCAAACTTTACAAGCTACATTAGATCGGTTCCGATGATGCTCAGTACTTTTTTTTTTGTTATCTCGTAGATTAAGATTAGAACAAATATCACTTTACACAAAGAATCAGCGAGATAACAAATACCATCCGGAGTCAAAAAATTGACATAATACATACCTCTAAAACTAACAAAGATAAAGACAAAAGTCGAGAGACAGGATAATACAACAAAAATTCATGAGAGAAATACTCAACCTTGTACCCAAAGGCAAGTTTACCTAACGTGAACTCATCATCAATTAACACAAGTTGAGAAGAATAATGACATAGATTAGAAGCACACGAACATCACCGACACAAACTGAATCAAAAGAAACTAGAATCCTTAACCGTTGTTGTAAAACACCCTTCAATTCCAATTAAGTCTTGCCATTGAACTTTGAGAAGGTTCACTATGCACCTCATACACACCATCATCCCACGGAAAAACCTATAAAGCTTAGTGTATATGTTGGTATTCTCCATCTCCTTTAATTTTTCATCTCAATTTACAAACAGTATTTGTTCGGTTAAAAGGACTAACAGTTATTAAGTACCCTCTCTATCTTTTTTATATTTAACATTTTAGAATTATATACATAGATTAAAAAGTACTCCGTATTTCATTAAACAGAAATATCATTAATTATTAAAAAAAAATAGAAACAAGACCAATTTAATATTTTCATGTTAAATTGGTGTTATTCTGGAAATATTAATTATTGGGTGTTACTTTTCGTTACACTTTAAGAATGTAATATTTTTAGAGATTTGATAAGTAAATATCTTCATAGTCCTCTCTCTCTCTCTGCTTTCTTATTAGGGTTCTTGATCTCTCTTCTCTACGCGCAGGTGAAAAAAAAAAACATCTCACAAGCTTCCGTGGTTTCTATCATCCCAATGTCTACTTCCCCGGGTAATGTGAAGTCTCTCCATGCCTTCTCCTCTCTCACCCTTGTCCCCCAAGTCTCTCCCAAACCCGAGATGAACGCATCTCCATCATCAACCCCAGTCTCTAACCGAACCGTTGCGTTACGATCGACTCGTCATCCGCGTCTCTCTTACTCTTCCCTCGCTCCCTCATCCTCCGATCACCCGAAGAGAGAGGAAGCTCCGGTCTCTGAGGATGAAGAGAAGAGGAAGAGTTGGAATCTGCGGCGGAGGGAGGCAAAGAATCATCAGAAACCGAGCGGAGGAGTGATGGTGATGGAGCCGTCGAGATCGAACAGACAGAGAGCGATCGCGGCGGAATCTAACGGCGTCGAGGTTAAGAAGGTGAACCACAGGAGGCTTTGGGTGGCGCTTTCTAGAGACGAGATTGAAGAAGACGTGTTGAGTATATGCGGGAACAAGCCGTCTCGTAGGCCACGAAAGAGAGCAAAGACGTTGCAGAAACATCTCGATGTAAGTGTTCGACGAATTCCCTCACGGACAAAAAAAAAAATAAGTTTCAGCAATGTGATTATATATGTATGTGAGTGATGTGTAGGTTATGTTCCCTGGAATGTGTCTTGTTGGGATGAATGCTGATTGCTTCACAGTATCCACTTCTCCTGCTAAGGTGTGAGGCTCTACTTTGATCCCTAGATAGATTGTATTTAACTGTTACAAATGATATGAGTTTTTTTATAGTATGGTGCTTACAAAATATATCCGAATGATACTGTTGCTTTGTCTTGTAATATTAAATCAAGAAGAAATCCGTAACAAGTGATTTTATTTCATCTGCAGCCATGATCGGGGGCCTATAGACAAGGAGTGTTTTTTTAGTGAAGGAAGAAGGTGAAGTGATCTCCTTTATTTAAAAGTTTATCATTTTCATGCGTAACGTTATCCATTTGCTTTTCTTTTTTTTAGCTTTGTTATTGAGTTGTTGGGAACTTGTTTCTGGTTTGTTGCAGGGTAGATAGGTATGACGGTGGTATGGTCTTAGATAACAAGTAAAAGATAAGAAGAAGAAATATCTCAGGGACGTGTTCCTTTTGTCTCATATCAAAGTTAAAACAAGTATTATGGGGAAGTTCATATAATATATCTATCTACATTATAAAGAGAGATAGAACAGGAGTTTGCTTTTGAGTTATTGATAATGAAAATCGGTTAATATGATGATCTTATGGCATATGAAAGTTTATTTATTTGTGCTCTTTTCTTGTTAACTTGCCAAAGCAAAACATCCATGTGTATATATGGTTAAGAAAGGTTTTCCCAAACCATAGAAATTGAGACTACAATAAGTTTTTTAAAATATATATATATATGAATAGTTGTGCATAGTTTCATATTACAAGGATAATGTGAAACTGTCATAAATGTCTGGACTGATCTGTGGTTTCCATATGTGAGACGTAGAACAATTCCAAGTATACCCTAAAGAGCACACAATCAGTTAGAAAGTCTATGTTTCTGAGAGACATACTAGGCCATATTCCATAGATTTGAGCCTGGCGGATCATCCATAACATTTAGCAAATCCATTAAGGGAAAGAGTTGCTATAAATCATCATCTGTGTGGTTTTCAATAAACAACGCATTTGAAATCAGACAGACATCATCCAAAAGGACTAAAACCTATTTTCATCAGAACTAATTACATTTCAAGAAAACGTGTAGATGATTATTAGGGCATCAGGAACCATGTACTCAAGGCACAAATCCTTATAAATAGTAGTTATGATTATTTTATTTTGTTTTTTTCAGATTTAAAAAAAAAAGAAAAAGAACTGACCAATCACATCTTTAGATTATTTAAGTGGAGCCCATAAATAGTTAAGAGGTTCAACAAATCTAATCAGCTAAGGAGTTTAAGAGTTTTTGTTGGCACAAAAACATAAATGAAGTGGAGCCTACATAATTTTATATTAATCTTTTTCTTAAGGATTTGTGTTAAGAACCATTGTTGCATATGGTCTTAGATACAGGTGATATGAGGTTTATTTTTTGTCACTCCCTATCCATTTTCACGTGACAAGGCCTTAGAGTGATGAAGGATAACCCAAACACCCATTAAGCTCACTGGGCTCTTATTCAGGATTTCTAATCCAAAAGGTCCAAGATAACCTATGATATGTGAATGATGCTTCTCTTAAACTTGTTAGGAATTTTAATTTTTTGTAATTATGTTTGCATGAAGCATGCTAACTTTGGAGAAGGTTTGTCCCATTAATTATGGAATCATCATTATTGTTATAATGTGAATAATTATGTAAGGGGTTTAGGACATATCACAGGTTATTTTATGCGTTTTGTGTTAACATCACATAATGATTAATAGTCCACAATCATTTGACTCTCACCGTTTATGCTTCTCTACAGCGAAGACAAATACTCATTTTGTCGGTTTTCTTTCAATATTTTATATTGTTTCTTTCTATAAACTTTATGGGATTAGCACCAAACCAAAACTTAATCACTGTCACATGTAGTTCTTGCCTAATAATAAGAAAACGAAGAGTAATTTTCGGAGTGGGCTCCTCTTGTTTCCAAAAAGCAGATCCATTTGAGACCAACTTTTTCACTGATTACATAATGGCATAATACACACCTAAATTAATTAATATACAAGGTTCATATCAAATTTCATTTACTAAAAGGGGCTATCAAGTTTATGTTGTTGAATCCAAACTGAAAAGAAAAATGAAGTTAATTAACTGCATGTACATATGCCATTTGTCTACGCTGATGGTTTACACAGATTGATTACTTGCTTGCTCATCCATATATATTTGATATACAGTATTTTGTTTTGGCAAAAACTTAGGACTATAATATGTAAACTTGGTTAAAAGTTATAACATAAAACTAGGTTAACTATGGTTAGTATAAAATATAAATAATGAGCCATTATCTACGTCATACACAGTCCTTGTTGTACTGGAGATGTATTTCTTTTCAACTACCAACAGACAACACAATAGCACAAATGATTCCTTACCCTGTCACCAAGTGGATTAGGGTCTAAAGCTACGTTTCATTATTACCCATCGTCCTTACTAAAATATCCAACTCATTTGGGATGACAATTAAAGCCATATGTAGTTCTACGTCTTCTAAAATTAGGCTCCAATCGATCATTACATGTAATGACCAAAATGTATATAGTGACAGCACGTAGATAATGATATTTGTACAAGAGACAAATAACTAGTGACATAAAATGCAGAATTATGTCGTCATTCTACGAGTTTCATTATAACTTTTTTTGAAACTATTATAACTATTTATTTATTTTATAAAATGATTCAGTGTGACCATTTTTAACCAATGTAAGCATTATTTCTCGATAAGAAGCATTAAAGAACACAAGTTCAGGATTGTAATCATGTCATTTGGTCAATGCATGTATCCTAAAAGCTCATAATAGCTGCGCTTATAAACACAAGTTTAACGCAAATTGCTCCGAACAGAAGTTGTCTATCTGATTTTTTATGCATTCTCTTTGGAGACAAGTCGCTAAATGTATGTCAAAATAGCTGGTTTGGGTGATGGCTGGTTTAGTTTTTAGATCTTGAATTGAGAAGTTCAGTTAAAAAAAAAAAAAAAAAATTAGGATGAATAGGCTAGCGTTTAGGAGACTATATGCCATGTTCTCCAAATATCAAAAGAACACTTCTGAAAGACTGATGTTAAGTCTCTCCAAATATAGTCCATTTTTTTCCTATACTTCTGAAGAGCCTTTGGATCTTATACGACAAAAAGAGAAATCCACATTATGCATTAACTATTCTTTTCCTACCCGATCTATCTTCATTTGCATTTTTAATCTTGGCCTTTTGTTTTCTCTGACACCAAATTTGCAACATATTAAAATCTTAAAGCCAAAATTATAATCAAAGCCATAAGTTTATATATGTATTCTTAGGTTTAACATGATAAATCCATCAGATGTTATTTGAATAGTGATTTTTGAATATTGTTTATGTGTCATCACCACATTTATTTTTATTAAAAGAAATGACTTAGTTAAAATAATGACATGTTAATTCTTATTATGACAGGTCAAATTGCATTTATGAAGTTTTTCATTTTTGATAAGATGCTTGAAATATAAGCGTAACTTATATTTATCCAAATTTAAGCCAAAAAAAAAAAAAAACTTATATTTATCGCCATTAATAAAAATATTAAACTAATAACATATCTATAAATATATAAATTTTTTACATTAGCTTAGATTGAAAAAGAAAGAACATGTAAATATTTACATTTTACAAATTAATTGTGAATATATTGTCAATTATGTGTTTGAATTATGTTTTGATTCCTTAATTGGTATAAAAACTAATTAAATTACTAAATTAGTAAATTCATTTGTCTATGATCACCAGAAAATATGTTTCTTGGGCAAATTTTAGTCCACTCATTGAGTTAGTTAATAGATTAATGTACATCACTTAAATGTAGATATAATTTATATTTTATTAAGTTGATTAATAAATTAATTAATATTTTAATATATTTTAACTAAAATTAAAACATTCAAATATATATATGCATATTAAAATACAAATAATCACAAATACAATAAAATAAATTATGTTTATAGTTTAAGCTAAAATAAATCTAAAAATAAAAATTATTCAGCCAAAAAATATAACTTATGAAAATATTATATTTATACTGAAAAAACTAAAAAGGTTTATAGAAAATAAATTTATATGTTTGTTTTAATACGCATGGAATGTTCGAGTTTTCTAAATAAGTGTGTGTAATAATAGCCTAGTGGGTAATGTGATAGAGTTTGAAATAACTGACTCTGCCGCTTTGAGCAGTCTTCTTTTTGAACAGCTTTCTTAAATCATTTATAACAATCAGTCTCCATTTAGTTCTTAAAGATACTCTAAAATCGTTATTATTTATCTGCTGTACAACAAAACTTTATGAGTTATTTCCTATTCTAATGAACCCTTTTGAGTAATAATCTATCTTTGTTTTAGAAATGCTTTTGAAGGGTTTATAAAACACACACATAAACGTATATGTAACTATTAATTTTTACTTTTAGGTTGTTATATTAAAGTAACATTACACGTAAAATCCGTTTAATGTGTATTATATTCTTGAATGACAGTAAAATGAGTTCGTATATAAAATTGCACGTGTCTTGCATTATAGGCTTATTGCCCAAAGATATTCCAAACCATATTTGTGTAACCGATGAATCACATGACCAACAGCTCATTGCACATAAGCAAAATAATTTAAAACATGCGAGTAGAAAATGGTACATGTTACCTGAGAACAGCTTTCAAATATATCCCCACCTTTTGGCCTTTACGAATTTCAAATCTTTTGAAGGTTAATTGGTTAATTAATGGTGCAAATCATCGGATGTTGGTCAAAGTAAATAAATTATACTACTGTATTACAAGAGTCTCATGAAATAATAATCTAGCATTAGAGATGACTTATATACTCCTAATTTCCTACCCATTTTTAGTATGAGGTCAAGATTAGGAAGAAATGAATTAACTTTCCATCTTCTTCTAAGTTTAAGTTTTTCCTTGTGTGATTATGTGAATATATGCCTAAACTCCTGTGCAGGTATACTTTACTATGAGTGGGTTTATACTATGAGACTATGCTTCTTTTCCTCTCGTGATATTTTGCTTTCCTATCACTTGGAGAAAAACGAATTCTTCTCATTTGCAATTATAAACGAAATTTCTCTTTAAGACATAAGTACACTATTAAGAAAGGTTTTCAGTTTCAATGATAAAGTGCACTCTTTTCATTTGAAAATTTGAAGTATAATTTTATCATTTACAATTGTAAACAAATCTTATCATTTACAATTCTAAACGAAATCTTCTCATTAACAAACTGTCAACAAAAACTTCCAGAAATGAATCTTTCCACTTGCAATTGTAAACACATAATACAATTTCATTTGCACCAATAGACTACAATTGTTAACGAAACTCTTCTAAAATATCTGAACTTGTAATCATAAGCAAAGATGTAAACCAAATTTAATAGTAAAATCAATTTCACTTGCAAATTTAAAACAGAAACAAAAAATCTTGGTATTCTTTTTTTACTCGTATAGAATGAACGAGTACAGGGAAAGCTATTTGACCGTTGACTAGGGACAACGAAGAAGAGCATAGGAATATTTGGCCAGAAATGCACGTGTGGGTGAACAAGAGCGCACGTGTGCTTTGCTGTCAAGGGTGGTGTGGTTCACTTAGGAATGTGTGCGCCACGTCGGTTCCACATGGGTGGCTATATCGCACGAGCCAACTTGGTCCTTTTTTATTACAGGCATTCCCTTGAAGCTTCTCTCTTTTTTTAATATAACCTTGAAGCTTCTTCGTATTCTCCATTTCAACGTCTTAAACATATATAAGAAAACATAGATTCCCAAACCATTACTTAATTTTTATAAGATTAATGATGACGATACTAGAATCTCAATTATTTCGCAGGTATGACAGTAACATTCACAACATTTGATTCGAGACTAGAATCTCAATAATTACCCAGGTATAACAGTAACATTGACAACATTTGATTCGTTAAAATATTAGTAGTATATAATATATATCAATCAAGAGATAATAAAACATTTACGTGAGATTATCTTTTTCTACTGCTAGCTAGCCCTCTTTCTTGTGCATTATTTAGATGCCAATGTGTATTTTCTTTGAAGTAGAATACACTTTAAACAATCGAATTATTACATGTTCGAGAGACTATATAATATTCGAAAACATGATAGGGAAGTTAGGTCCAAACATTTAAAGTTCCCCAATGATGACATTAGCCTACAGCCAATTCTGTAGAGAATAATTAAGCTACGCATCAAACATGATTAACAACATTGAGAATTATTAGTCTTAGCGAAAAAGCAAAACATATATAAACGCCTCAAATGATTACATTATTAGAAAATACGATTTGTATTACAAAAGTTTTTTCGTGAATCTTTGCTTTATATACGTACTAGTTGAGAGTACCCCGAGGGTTTAAGATAAAATGCCACATGTATATAATGCTCCCGGGTTCAGAAAAAAATTATATGTGTACTGATATTCTATTTTTCGTAGATTATATGATGCTAATTAAACTTTAAAAGAAAGTATAGATTTTTACCAAAACAAAATTCTACTAGTTGTTAAAAAAAATACTACTACTATTTTTCCAAATTTTGCGTACAATGATTACAAAGAAGTGTAAATGATTGTGGCGCGTAGCTGAAATAATAAATTGTCGGCGTGTGAGGAAACAAAAGGAAACCCACGGCCGGGTCGAGTGTTTTCGGGTCCCTTATAGGCACGTGAGTAGACCCACCTGCCCATGTTACTCTCTCGAGCCCAAAACTGTAAATTTATTAATTTTCCAATTTATTAATTCATAAGCCCTAATAAATCATCTTTCGGCAGTGAAAAATATACTTCTCAGATTTTTTTTGTCAACAATAGAGATTATGCACTAAAAAAGTATCGTGGCTCGTAATTCAGAGGTAAATATTGTGATTAACGGGTTTGTTTGTAATCATCGTTTGCTTATTATAAGTTTGGTAATTCAGATGTTCTAATAAAAAAAAAACTGAAAGCTTATTATAAGTTTGTTACTCGGTATTACGTTCTATAATATTACCGTTTTTATAATGGATTCTGAAAGTATACAAATTCTTTACATGAACATAGCTAGAGAAACAGTCAATTATTGAACAAAACAGAAACAGTCAAATTAATATTGGATCCATGAGTATGGTGTTATTGTAATGATAGATCCCACATCCCCACATGGATATGATTGGATCACAACAGTTGATTGGCCCACAGCTTTGAAGGAGTTCAGATTCATGTGGATTGTGTTTTGTACCAACCACTTGATTTAGTCCATTTTTATCATTATATTTTTGATCAACAAATTATTGCCTAACTAATTTTTTTTTGATATTTGGTCTCAGCTGTGTGTGATCTTGACTGATTGAGGTTCTTTCCTTCTATTATGAATACCTTTTATAGAAAGTTCAGTAAAATTGATTTAAAAAAAAAAAATCAAGAAATACAATTTGTGATGCCTGATATTACACATAAAGAATGATATCACTGAGAGAAAGAATGGTGGTTTTCTAAAACCTATGTAAGTTTGTGATAATTTGTATATTTTTATATAGAAGTTCATATAAAACCAAACTATATACATATCGTGATTATAAATGACTAATTATAAAACATCAGCAATTATTCAAGCAAATTACAACTCGAAGAAAATAAGTTTTTTCAAAATATCTTTTGCTTTACTGGCATGGTCTCAAATCAATGCAATAATGAGTCTTCACGGATGTCCTCAAATCATGAGTTTTGCAAGACAATGCACGATTTCCTCCATAGTCCATGTACGAGAGAATGTATTTGACTTGCCTTTTTTACATACTGTAACCATTTGTTGCTACACACACACACGTATATATATATATATATATATATATATATATATATATATATCCTCTGATATGGTTTTTTGCGCAGGAATTTGTAAGAATGCAAATAGAATATATACATTGAAAATGTGACTGTAGATTATAGTTTGAAACTAGACTTTGGATTCCATACATAATGGAATAACTTTTAGGTTATGTCTTATGGAAATAGTTAACTAAAGAGAGGACTTACATCATGTAGTATAATAAATAGTAAAAGAAGCAAAAGAAAAAGAGAAGACAAAGAGGGAACAAGTTGGGGATAAAATAATAGAGTTTTCAAAAGGGCATTATAGATAATAATTGGCCAACCTGACAACCTTTCATTTCATTAATTCAACTCCTATATTAATCACCTCTCTTCTCCCATTTCACATCTCTCCATCTACCTCTCTCCCTCTCTTTCCATAAGAACCCTAGAAGGTTGATCTTGTCATCTTTTCACTTCACCCACTACCAAAACTAGAGCATTTGAGGCAAATTCAGCATTTAAAAAAAATTATTTTGTCCTCCCTACCTATAAGGATCAAAAACGTTTTGATATTCTGATTCATCAAAACATTACTATTTGAAGTTCTTGAGGTAAAATTATATTCAAGGTCTAGAATATATAATCATGATGATGGGAAAAGAGGAAATGAGTTTAAGTCTGAGCTTGGGGTTTGCACAAAATCATCATCCTCTCCAGCTGAATCTCAAACCCACTTCTTCACCGATGTCCAATCACCAGATCATGTTTCCATGGAACCAGACCTTGGTTTCTTCCTCAGGTATGTTCCCTTCTTCTACACAAAAACCTTTTTCACCAAGAAACAGGTAGATCTGGAAGTGTGACCCCTCTCTCCTTTTAGCAGATCACCAAAACCAACAAGTTCTTAGGAAAATAGACGTGAACAGCTTGCCGTCGACGGTTGATTTGGAGGAGGAGACGGCAGTTTCTTCCCCTAACAGCACGATCTCAAGCACCGTGAGCGGCAAGAGGAGAAGCGAGAGACAAGGAACATCCGGAGATGACATCACTCTGGACCGATCTTCCTCACGTGGAACCTCTGATGAAGAAGAAGAAGAATACGGAGGAGAGGCTTGTAGAAAAAAGCTCAGGCTATCCAAAGACCAATCTGCTGTTCTTGAAGACACTTTCAAAGAGCACAATACTCTCAATCCCGTAAGTCATTATCCGTACCCTCTCTGTTAGAATAAAAGTATTCTTGTAATAAATAATCTGATATCTAACAATGGCTTTATGGTAAATCTACAGAAACAGAAGCAGGCTTTGGCTAAGAAGCTAGGTTTAACCGCAAGACAAGTAGAAGTGTGGTTCCAAAACAGAAGAGCAAGGTGAGAGTCAAATAACTCATTTTAAGATATTAAATAAACCATTTTAATATTTTACCAAAAAAATAATAATAATAAATAAACCATTTTAACCGTTTAATGCAATGTTTATTAACAAATACAACGAATTTTTTTGTGGCTAATAGGACCAAGTTGAAGCAAACAGAAGTAGATTGCGAGTATTTGAAGAGATGCGTAGAGAAATTAACCGAAGAGAATCGGCGGCTCGAGAAAGAGGCAGCGGAGCTAAGAGCGCTAAAGCTTTCACCGCGGCTGTATGGTCAGATGAGTCCACCGACCACGCTTCTTATGTGTCCATCATGCGAACGCGTGGGCGGACCATCGAACCACAACCAAAGGTCTGTAGTGTCTGTGAACCCGTGGCTCCAAATGGCTCATGGGTCAACTTTTGATGTTAAGCATCCTAGGTCTTAACTTTATTCCGGTTCTATGGGTTATGATTATGTGGGTCATTGTACTTTTTAGATTATTGACTCTCGTTATGTACCTTTAAAAGCTTTTTCATGTTTTAAAACTACTTAAATCTGATTAAATTAGTTGTTCTTGTCTTCTTGATGACAAACAAAACATAAAAGAATGGGGAAAACTATTTATTCTTTTTCTCAGATCTTCTTTAAACGCACTACCCATGTTGACAAAATGATGACTCTATCTTCATTTACGTTTGACAACGATCGTACTAAAAAAGAAGAATAAAATGATCATGCTAAAATGTCATAAAATAAAATAAAATGGAGGCTTAAGAATCTTGTAATGGCATGGGTTTAGGCCCGGTGGGATAGTCGATCACGCTTAGTGGTCGGATACTGAATTATCAAAAAAAAAAATGTCATAAAGAATAATTAAATTCTAGAATGGCACATAGAATTTTAGCCAAAATAAGGAATGGCACATACAAAAAAATAAACAAACGTCAGGTTAGTGAAAATAGTAAAAGAAACTATAATTTAAATCACATTCAGAATCATTTATGAAAATTTCAACCCAATGATGTACTAGTGCCCAAAGTTGTAAGAACAGACTATAATCTATAAAATTCTATTGGGTCTTAAAAGGGCCTTCTTATTGGGCTGAAATTTAAAACCCAAGTAGCGGTTGAATTATCGGTTTGACTTGATTCACTATGCAATTCTTATTTCACCTCGGATTCTTGGGGAAATTAGGTGATGAATAATATATATACTTGGTCTCTCTAGGATCTGAGCAAAACTCGAAGTGAAAAGCTTGGTCTCATACACATGGAGTATTGAGTTTTTCTATACTTTCCAAAACATTAGTCAAAAGCAGAACTAGTACTCTCTCGTATTATACATGATGGTCATTTTTCTAAAAATATACAGACAACAAACATGAACCAATACCATCTAACGACTGAATGTCACCACAATGTTCGTTATTATCATTCACAAGTTCAAATGTCCAGTTATGCAGTCTTAATCAAAAAACAAACACTATCTTTGTAGTAAAATAATATCTTAGGCTTTGGTCTACAAATGTATATGCAAAATTGAATTGGAACCAATTGATTGTTAGTTGAACTAAACCATTAAACTAGTTGTTGTTGGTCCCACTCGAATGTGGGACCCTCCAAAAATAAGCGTATGCCACTTAAGCGTGGAGAGTACACGGTATTCTTTAGTAAAAGGCGAAAGAATAGTTCGCTTTGTACTCACCACATGGCTGCGAGGTTTGATATGTGGGAAGGTGATATGTATTTATAGTACAACTTCTGCTGCTCACTTCTCCCAGTTTCCCGATGTGGGACGTTTAAACGAAAGGACCATCACAAAGGCCGAGTGAAAACCACAACTCTTCGTGGGCCTTTATGGGCCTGGAATAAGTTTGGTTTCAAACATAAAGGTTGTCTTTCTTCCTTTAAGCCGAGTGAAAACCATAACTTAGTTCTCGAAATCAAAAGCTTACTATATAATTCGTATTTGCATATGTTTTCACCAAATGTAGAACGATTCTCAAACCTGCATTGTTTCCTCTATCACAGTAAAATTGATGAATGAGAAATATAGTCTTATGAGATAATAAAGAGTCGAAAGACATAAAATGTTAGAGATACAACTTAAAATTAATTAACGGTTATAATCTGAAAAGTGCTATAATAAACAACGAATGAGTCAAATGACACAAAGTCTAATAAGATTATGAAAAAATATAATCAATCGACGCACCGGTAAAAGGTACTATTGTTTTTATTCTTATTAATAAATAGTCTAATAGATAATGATAGATGATTAAACTTTTGTTTTCGTAATTATTAGGATATCCTAATTATTACAATGATCAAAAAGTTATTTTTTCGGAGAGGGCATACTAATGAAGCCTCATTGATGAATTTAGGTTGAATTTGCATCAAGAAGAAAACGTAAGTTGGTTTTGCAGGTAAGGCACAACGTATTTCACAACATCATCATGCGCCATTTCGAGGTGATCTCCAGGGACACCGACAAACTTCACTTTTCCAGCATCATCCAGTGTTTTAAGACCAATCCAGTCCTCAGTATATAGCTTTGTCTGAAAAAAAAACATAGTTTTAGAAACAAGTGGTTGGGTGATGATGAGAAAAACAAAATGAAAGTGAGGATGAGTTTAAGGTTTTCACCTGCTGAGGAGGCAAAAGAGGTGTTGTAGCTCCATCAGGGTAAAAGCCGAACAAACAAGTTTCTTTAGGAACCACTATTGTATCACCCTCGAACTGTTATAAGTAAAAAAAAAAAATCAAGACAAAGTTCCATGAGCTAATCATCTATCTAGCTAACTATGTTTTTTTGGTGCAAATGTTAAATATCATCCAACAATGTTGTTCAAGATGTGGGTGAAATCTCAAAGATCATTGATTTTAGGAGGCAGCACCATAACTAGGACCAAGTTGTGCAAACTGGTGAAACGTTCTTTATAAGTGGAGTTCCTCTCCTTAGGTCTCTCATTGTTGAGCTTTGGTAGAAACTTGCAGTGATCCATATACTGTGATATTTCCTGATAACAAAATTACAAACGCATTAATCGAGAAATGGTTTCTTCAAAAAATAAAAAATAAATAAATAACAAACGCTTAGCTCCATTAAGTTTATCATATACTAGGAAATGATCTGAGGATTAGAGTTTGTACAGTAGCGAGTTTAATATATCCACATGGAGCAATATGATCCTGCATAGTCATTAGAATGTGTTGTTAATGAGGTGTATTAGTCATGTTTTAAGGGTTTGGATCTTGATTAGAGAGAGAGAAGGTATGCTTACTTGAGCAGAGTCGGTGTAAACATCTGTTTCCTGCAGCTGGCAAAGTGGATAACTCTAAACAGAGAAGTTTGTTATTGTTTTTATGAATGTGACTTGTTGTTAAGACAATGAGACAAGGAGAAAAGGAAAAAGAACTCACAGCTCCTACAGGACACTTGGGAATGATGGAGATGCCAGCATGAGGTCCTCCTAAGGACACATAGTTGATGACAGGAGGAGCATTGTCACAGAACTCAATTAAACCTCTAGCAACCATGTTTCCTTGTGACTGTGCTACAATGTTGTAACCTTGACTCAGCTCTTTCATCTGTTTGACTTTCTCACACGCTACACGCGCTTGTTCCATAAGCGGCATGTACATGGAATCTTTTTCACCATTTCCTATTTCTCTACAAGATAACAGAGGGAGAGAGGGATAAGCCCTTTTGAAACATTCAGCTGAAAACAAGAAGAGAATTGAGTTGGTTAGGTCTGTACAAGCAGTAGCCAGGGGAGCTGGAGAGGTTCCTAAGGAGCTGTGTGAAGCTCCTAGCTTCAACACTTGAGCATTGATCATTAACCCCTGTCTCAACCATGTTCATTAGATACAGTATCAATCAAGAAAATAAAAAAAAGGACGAAGAAGGATCTTTAATTACCATGTAAGTGGATGAACGGAAGAGAGATTGAAACAGAGATGAAGAAGAAGAAAGAGAAGGTTACAAGGAGAGCAGATATCTGGAAGCTCTTGTCCATGGAAGATATTCAGAGAAAACTACCTTTAATCTTGTAGGAAAGACGACAAAGAAGTACAGACTAGTCTATCTTCTTGTGCTTCAATCATATGTATAGACACAGGCCTAAGGTAATTTGTTTTTTCTTTTTTGGTATATACTTTTTATTTATTTTGTGTAACCATCTTCGTTTAATGATTTTTAGCTCTCATAAGAATCAGTACTCTGTAATTTTACATGTTTATTAATCATATGATATTAGTCCATAAATCTAAAAGTTTGTGATATTTATTTAAAGGAGTTATGAAGCACACAATTTTATTTTAAAGAGTTTTATAAATTCATGAATCCTAAAATTTAATTATGCAAACTATTTTTAGTGGTATAAAGTAAACATACTAGCAGTGTAAACCATGTAAATCGAGAAGGTACTTATTACTAAATAAAGTAACTTTTTTTGTTCACTACTAATTAAAGTAACGATCATTTTCTCGATTAAGTAACATTTATACATAGTGGTTGTTGTATGGCCGGACCTTTAAATTCTTCTTTAGATTCTTCTTTAATGTGATGAACTGAAATTATTAAAGACAGCGATGGCGCCATCCGTGGTTGGTGCTTGTTTTCTTATTAACTTTGGAAATTTAAATCATAGCTTCTTCTTCTTTTTCACAAAATATGCTATAATCCAAAAGAATGTAATCATTTTTTTTAAGAAGCTGTTTGAAATATTTGTAGAAAAAAGCATATAATAACAATTATTATCATATAAATTCGAATAAATTCAATTCCATGTGAGTATGCAGTGTGGGCTTAAAGTCATATTGCACCTCTGGAATAGATTTTGCATGGAACTAAGTCTAAAATAATTCAGGATCAAGAGGTTATGTCTAAGAATAATCTAATATGTAGGAGGAAGGCGGCATGCAAGTACTACATAACACTTTACAAAAAATTATAAAGCTTAAGCAAAATGCCTCATCTCATAAACATGATCGAGTTTTTTTTATTGAAGTTCTTTAGATTTGTCAAATTGAAATAGAGTTATAAGTATGAGAAGGTAGTCTCTGGCGTTATGCAAGACGAAAACTATTTGCATAAATTTGACTCTCTTTGATAATAACTAAGATAATGTCTTTCTTTAAATTTTAGGTTTGAGACATGCTTTAAGAAAGGAAAGTAGGATGGTTCTGGAGGTAAGGCACGACGTGCTTCACAACGTCATCATGCGCCATTTGGAGATGCTCTCCAGGGACACTCACAAACTTCACTTTCCCAGCGGCATCCAATGTTCTTAGACCAATCCAATCCTCAGTATAGAGCTTCGTCTGGAGAAAGTATGCACAGTTTTTAGAACACAATTGGCTGACTGATGAACAGTTGAAAATGAGTTTTAAGGTTTAGAACCTGTTGAGGAGTCAAAAGAGGTGTTGAAGCTCCATCAGGGTAATATCCGAACCAACAACTTTCTTTAGGCATCACTACTTTATCACCCTGGAACTGTTTTTAAAGAAATATGAATGATCTAGATCCAACAATCTTTTTCAAGAATTGAGTGAAATCTCAAGAATAATAAATTGGTTAAGGAGGCAGCACCATAACAAGGACCAAGTTGTGCAAGCTAGTGAAACGTTCTTTATAAGTGGAGTTCCTCTCCTTAGGTCTCTCGTTGTTGAGCTTGGGCAGATACTTAGAGTGTTCCAGGTACTTCGATATCTCCTTAGAACAAGATAACAAACTTTTTTTTGGATTGCTCTAATCATATAAGTAGGAAATGATTTGAGATTTTTAGTTTTTTACATTAGGGAGTTTGATATAACCACTTGGAGCAATATGATCCTACATAGTCATTAGAAGGTGTTGTTACTAATAATGATTTTACCATTTTTCATTATATAAGAAGAAGGCAAAAGAAAGAGAGAAGGTGTACCTGAACATAGTCGCTGTAGACATCTGTTTTCAGTAGCTGGCAAACTGGAGACTATGTAAACAGAGAAGGAGAAGCCCATTGTTGTTGTTGTGATTGTGATTAAGATACAGAGACAAAAAGAGAACGAGAATAAATTAAAGAAAAACTCACAGTACACTTGGGGATATTAGCTATGCCAGCATGAGGACCTCCTAAGGAGACATAATTAAGAACAGGAGGAGCATGGTCACAGAACTGGATTAGACCTCTAGCGACTAAGTTTCCTTGAGACTGTGCAACAATGTTGTAACCTTGACTCAACTCTTTCATCTGCTTAACTTTCTCACACGCTATACTCGCTTGTTGCATAAGCGGCATGGACACTGAATCTTGTTCTCCATTTCCTATTTCTCTACACAAAACACACACAGGGAGAAAGAGATGGATAAACCTTTTTGGCAAGATTAGGATGAAACAAGAAGGAAGGTATGAGTTGAGTTGAGTCAGTACAAGCAAGAGCCAGGAGAGCTGGAGAGGTTGCTAAGGAGTTCTGTGAAGCTAATAATTCCACTATTGGAGCATTGATCTCGAATCCCTGCTCCAGTTAAATGTTTTTAACTGATTAGAAGTAGCAAACATAAGAGAGGAGATAGAAAAAACGGATGATTGATTACCGTGAAAGAGGATGAATGGAACAGAGATTGAAACCGGGATGAAGAAGACGAAGATGGACAAGGTCCTCACAAGGAGAGCAGATCGCTGGAAACTCTTCTCCATGAAACAACTCAAAAGGAAAAAGTTACTTTAGGTTTGAAGGAAGCTCAAGTGAGAAGGCAAGATGTATACGTCAGTTATTACAGATCAATCTAACTTTTTGTGCTTTGGTCGTAAATGCAAGAAAGAGAACATTTATTACGTGGAGCTGGTTGGTGACTGAACTTTATTGAAGTTTAACCAAAAATAGACTTTTTGGAGCTGCATTTGTTGTTAATCAACCAAATCTATCTTATTAAAGTTGTAGTACTCTTTAGGTTTGTTTGGAAACTTAAATAGTAGTAATAAAGAATTTAATGTTGTTTGGTAAGTTTAAAGGAGTTGGGCTTTTAAACATTGTTATAATAGAATTAAGCTTTTGTTTAATTTATTTTATTTTATGGTTGGATTTAATCATTTGGTCCATTGTAGTAATTTATGTTTTTAGTTTATATTTTATATAAAGACCATATTCAATTTTATTTATTGTTGACTAAATTAAAAATAACATCAGTTTTTAAGATAATAACAATTTACATTTCAAATAATTTAATACTCAAATATATTTTATCTAAAGTATTTTACATTATTCATATTATCATAAAGACACAAAATATTTGAATAGTTTTAACTAAAATATTAAAATTTTGTTTTCATAACTCGATATTTATCCGAAACACCTATCCCCCCCCCCCAAAATCAGTTTTACCCCGATTAATCTAAAATTAATCCTAGAAATCGTAACCAAACCGTTATCATATTGGAACCAAATATTTATCTGATATTAGTCGGTTATTATAATTATTACCAAACTGAGCTCAAACCAAAAGAATCGAACCAGACGAAAATTAATTTATATAGATAACAGAACAGATCTTATATCTGTAGAATTAAAAAACTACGAACATAAAGAATCCAACAAAAGTTGAACCCAAAATCAAACTCCAGTCCTATTACATTCAATACGATCATAGTTTTTGAAATACGGTAATAACCGATGACTTATGAATATATAATGGTTTTCCAAATTAAGTTAAACCCGCGCACAAATTCAATACGATAATAGTTTTTGAAATACGGTAATAACCAATGACTTATGAATATATAATGGTTTTCTAAATTAAGTTAAACTCGCGCCGGTGCGCGGGTCAAGATCTAGTTAATACTTAAAGAAATGATGTTCTAGATTTATTGTTTGTTTTTTAAAACTGATGTTTTAGATTTTAATTAATGCTTTTCGCTTTAAAATCAAGATAATCTAATGTAAAATATGAATGGTGAAACATATATCAGAAGACAATAAAAGAAGTATTTATTCTGTCCTAAACTAAAAAAACAATTTTTAGATAAAGAGGGAGAAGTAACTTTATTTGATGAAGAAACATTAATTGGTATATGATATATACAATGATTTACATTTGGTAATATTTCAGATTTTTTTGTTACTTGTAAAAAGCCTTTTCAAATCTCTCAACATTTAAGGATTTTGGAAATTCTATTAGTTTCACAATCTTTTTATCTTTTTTTTTTTGGGTGCAAATGTTAAGATTTCTACCACTTTTTTGAATTTTACAATGTTGTGGAAACACAACTTATTACAAGAAAGGAGAAGCAAGAGAGCAAGAGAACAAAGAGAGCAATAGAGTTTGAGAGCAGCATTAACTATAAGGGGAAAGAAACCAGAAATACAACTCAAGTAAAGAAGGCGAGGGAGCAGTCACATTCGGCCGAGAGAGAGACAATAGCCTATCTCGCATAGTTCAATCCACCACTCGGAAAAACGCCTCTGGAGTTGAAGTAACGCCCGTGAAGATGTGTGCATTGCGTTCCCGCCATATGTTGTAGATGATGACCTGATTAAGTAGCTTCAGCACTGCCACTGCGCGCGGAGCATGAGGCCCTGAAGACGCTCGCACAGCTCGACAACAGCTGCTAAAGAAGCAGGAGGGGACGCCATGTATCTGCCACAAAAAAGAGTCCAAGTAGCAGCTGCAAAGGAGCATTGAAAAAATCTATGACTAATAGATTCATCGGCTATAGAACAAAGAACACAATCTGGTTGGACATTAAGTCCCCAAGAAATCAGTCTATCTCGAGTTGGTAACCTTCCAAGGAAAACAGTCCAAGAGATAAAGGAGCAGCGAAGTATTTCCTCTTTAAACCAACCGACAGAGTGCCAGTCAACTAAGGGACCAGGAACACGGATCCTCTCCCAAGTCACCCTGGAAGAGAAAGAAGGACCGAAACCACCAGATTGGTTTCTCCACAAGTAAACGTCGTCACCGTTTGTTTCAGAGGGAACCGACATAGTGGATAAGATAATTTGAAGAGTCTCATGTTAAATGATTTACAAACTTGTCTGTATCAAGTAAGGCACAACGTCCTTGTATGCTATAGTGAGGTGGTCCCCTAACATAATCAACAGTCTAAAGATGAACACTGGACAGTTATTAATTTCGAGCCCATATATACCACTCGTGGGATACTCGTGAGTTCCGTAGCATTCCTCCAAAGCATGAGCCACAATGAAGTTGAGAGACTGTGAAAAAAAAGCCAGGGATGAATAAGTACAGTTGCTCAAGCTTGGGCAAATAATAATATAACTCAGCCAAAAAAAACTCAACCGGTGATATCAGAGTTATAGAGGATTAGAGAAGGCTTTTCGTAAAATAGGTCCTCAAGGCATTGAGACCAAATGCACGACTTGCCAACAACATTAAGACAGCTAATCATGTCCTTCACAACTCACACGCATGACCACTTAAAATTGGAGAGCATGCATGATGCACAACCCAACTAGACAAGTATTGTATGAGTTTTCAGGGTACACAATGTTAAGGTAGATGGGCTTCCAACCTAAAACCAATTGGTAATAAGTGGATTGGCTCATCTATCTTATATAGTGCTTAGGATCCCTTCCAACAACCGATGTGGGACCTTTGTCCCTAATACGCCCCCTCGAGATGATGGCTCTTTGGCATCAATCTCGGAATGTTCGGGCAAGGATCGATGGGCCGACTTTGGGCTGGATCGATAAGGATCGGGTTGGACTGCGTGGATCATGGGCTCTGATACCATGTTAAGCTGGATGGGCTTCCAACTTAAAACCAATTGGTGATAAGTGGATTGACCCATCTATCTTATATATCATTAAGAATCCCTTCCAACTTCCGATGTGGGACACTTTGTGTCTAATACGCCCCCTCGAGATGATGGCTCTCTGGCATCAATCTCGGAATGTTCGGGCAAGGATCGATGGGCCAACTTTGGGCTGGATCGATAAGGATCGGGTTGGACTGCGTGGATCGTGGGCTCTGATACCATGTTAAGGTAGATGGGCTTCCAACCTAAAACCAATTGGTAATAAGTGGATTGGCTCATCTATCTTATATAGTGCTTAGGATCCCTTCCAACAACCGATGTGGGACCTTTGTCCCTAATACACAAACACAAAAGCATAAGAAGTTGATGCTTTCCATTTAGAGTCCAAAGTTCAACATTAATCCCTTCCTTACATGCAGAAAGAGTCTTACATCGTTCAAAATTAATTCAGCCACGTTGGGAAATAATAGTAAAACGTAGTTAAAGTCAACATAAACGGAGGCTCGTGTTCTTTTGATAATGATTCTTGCTAGAATGTTGAAACTTGAAAGTCGTCTTATTACAAAAAAAGAAATAAATGAATAAACTTTTTTTTTGGTCAAAACAAATAAATGAATAAATTTCCTCGAATGTGTGCAACCAAAAGAATCAAGAGATCGTAAAAACACGTGTACGCCGTAATTCCACGTCAGACAATTAGACAACAGTCAACTGTGGATAACCGAACGGTGGATGTGGAGATAACGGCGATAAAAGCGGCATACTCAGTAACTCCGTCAAGTCCCAGTCATCAATCCCCGTCAAACTCGACGTCACTTCCTCAACGCCGTGTCTCTCCTCCGTCTTCACAACTTTCGTAACAACCCTAACTTCCTCCTCATCTCCGTCTCGTTTCCGTTTGTTCCGCCCATCATCACCAGCGCGTGGTTTCCACATCCCAACCTCGAGCGGGAAATTCACAATAGCCTTAGCTCCTCGGAGTCTAAACGCCGCTTGATCATAAGCCCTAGCCGCTTCGATGGCCGTGTCAAACGTTCCCAGCCAAACTCTAGTTCCCCGACGAGTCGGATCTCTGATCTCCGCCGCGAATTTCCCCCAGGGACGCATCCTCACTCCTCTGTAGTGCCTCTTCTCTTCCGCTGCCACCGTTGGTGGCAAGGGAAGCTGTTCACGTCGAGAATCTCCGGTTGCGAATTGGATCCATTCCGTTCTGTTTGTTGCGATCTTCAACGGCGGTTTTCGATTCGGTTGCGAGATGGCGGGATGAAGATTCGATTTGAACGTGAAGGAATCATCGTTGGATGATAATTGAATCTCAGCTTTCATGAGATCGGTTATTTCCGGTTTAGTCTCGAATTCGGAAAATTCGAAATCGGTTTGATAAAATGACTCGAAGATGGGGTCTGAAGGCAATGATTCGTTGATCCATGGATTAGTGGTGGCGGTTACATTAGGCAGAGGAGAAAATTCATCGAGGAGATGCTTCTTGATGAAGAAAATAGCTGAAGCTTCGCTTGGCGTGGCCATTTTTTATTACAGAGAGTCGGGAGATGATTTAATTGAAGGAAGGAAGGATTTGATTTGACAGTGGAGAAGAGTGTGGAAATGTATATATAGGAAGAAAGAGTCGTAGGTCAATGAGAGACACTTTCAAGGCAACATCCTTTCGTGTTTTAAAACTTCTTTTTGTTTGGTCAGAACCTTTCGTGTTTTTAAATAAAAATCAAATATTCAGCTGGGGAATGTTGTATATACACACGTGTGTTTTAACGATTGTAGACCGTTAGATTAGATTTTAAAGAACCAGTCAATGGTTGTGGTTCATCGATGGCAGCTGAGGTGAAATAAAAACCTTAGGCTGCGCGATCCAACTTAGATGTATTATATTGTTTCTTTTCTTTTCATAAGAGTTGGCAAGAATTGATTGAATCATGCATAATAAAGTTTAATCAAAAGATTTGTACTCCAAATTTTATAAGAATTAATGTACTTACTACTTGTAAGAAATTTCGGTCACATACATGCATTTTCAATTTTAAAAGTAATTGGCTTACTTGATATTTCTATAATCTTGGTTTGAACGCTGTCATCTCGTCCTATAGAATTTCCCGATGATCCGAGTGTTAAGAGGAGAAATTCATCATGAAATTATTTATCAATGTCGTAGCTGAGGCTTTGATCAGTGGTAGAGTCAAAATGCTTGGTGTTCAGTTCATGTGGGTTTCGTTTTTTCACTCTCGTTGGTTCTGTAATCGTTTATGCTAATGTTTTTTTTTTGTTTGACAAACGTTTATGCTAATGTTGTCATGTTGATGCTTGTAAGAATGTGCAAAGTCTGTCTTTAGATGGCGCTGTTCATTTTCTATATTTTTTTTTTGATAGGCTTAAAATATTTCTCCTTTTAGTATTAGTAGACTTTTAGAGCATCTCCAATGTAAAACACCATTTTTTCCTTTAAAATGGAGTAAAAGAGAATATAGAGTAAAAATTCTCCAACCCCACTCCATATTCCACTCTATAATGGAGTGATGAACAAACAAAAAACATATTACTCCATTTATGGAGTAAACTCTAATATGTAGTAGAATATGGAGTAGGGTTGGAGTGTTTTCTACTTCATATTCCCTTTTACTCCATTTTAGAGTAAAAAATGGAGTTGGGTTGGAGATGTCCTTAGGGCATATACAATGGAAGATTTTAATTAATCCTTAACTGTTAGGGAATTAATATAATAATTATGCAGGGCCCATTTAATTAGGTTATTGTGTCATAAAAGTCATTTTAAATCCTTAACTAATGATCAATATATGCCAGTATCATCACTGTTCATAAACATGTACTCTTCTTTTTTTTTTCTCAATTTTAGAAAAATAACAATAATAATAAAAAATTCTAATTACTGTTCCTAAGAATTTGTGCACAGTCTCTGGATTGCTGATGTCTTATATTTGACACAAAATCAAATATGTTTAGTAATAAATACATCTGTTTCTTATTGAATACTTTTCATAACTATTGAGCTATTAGTCAAAATACTCAATAGTATTTCAACAGAGACAAAAAGTTTGTTCATTCACATATAGTATATTTTTCATATTTGAATTATTATTGTTCTGGAGGTCCATTCAACAGAAATCTCCAAGTCCAAGGCTCTCTTTATCAAATATATTTCAAACTATTCGATTTTTTTTTTGTCAACATATCAAACTATTCGATTTGTATGGGTTGAAATATAGTACTACAAAAAAAGACCAAATGTCATAACCGCACGTGTTCAATCATAAGTTTGAAAGAGACGAGATGCATGCACATACCCGTTTTCAAACAATTTTCGAATAAAGAATTTGTCAAAATTAACCAAAACAATTACGCTATTTTAAATCCCATCTCGTTAGTTTGCAGCTATATGTTCTCATTACTACTATAGGGGCATGACTGGTTGTACAAAAAAATAATGAATATACAAGTTCCAGTTTGTTGATCAAAAAAAAAAATACAAGTTCCAATTTTAGAACCAATATAATTGAAACTTTACTATGGAGCACATCACAATTTATAAGTAAATTAAGAAGTTGTAGGTTAAAGAGAAATGCTCAGCTCACAAAGATTTTACATGTGAAAAAGATTTGGTAGGTTTGGCAATCAGTAACATAACAGCTTTAGATTATACTGAAGGACGAAAACCATCTTTATATCTTAGGTAATTCCTTAAACATATAACATGTTGAATTGATATCAAGTAATATAATGTATATTGTTGAGGACGATAAGATTATTCAACCACTAAGAATTCATTTATATACTCCTAATGCGAAATATTAAGGTTAACAATCTTATGCAGTATTAAGAAATAAGCGTCGTTTGTTGTTCATATAGATCATAATTACCAAATTGATTTGGAGAGTTCTAATTTAGTTTGTATATGTAGATAAAAAAAGTTAAGATGTGAATAAACTAACAATGGTGTGAGGCAGTGAGCATATAAACGGTGAACAATTGAACAAGTTATGATTATGGATTCTGAAAACCCGGTTTGTTTAAGAGAAAGTAATTTGGGGTAGATGTGTTGTGAATCGGTAAACCGGGGGTCATATTGGAAAACAAATACCAAACACTGAACGAATGATTATGGATTCTGAAAATCCGGTTTGGTTAAGAGAAAGTAATTTGGGATAGATGCGATGTGAATCGGTAAACCGGCGGTCAAGTTGGAAAACAAATAACCAAACACTGAACGACAAAAGGCAAAGACAAGTTGTGAGAGACGAGAGAGACCAAACACAATATTGCTTGCTTCCGTAGATCCCATGACATCATCGCTTACGGCGATTTCAACTGTGTCTTACTCTAATTATGTGGATAATCCGCACGTGTTTTAATTCACGAACCTTCATAGCAATGAGAAAAATCCATTACTTTCATACTTTCAACTTTTTTAATTCACCCCACTACACACTAAAATAACATTTACAAGAATAGTATTAGTCTTTGTCAATATTCAAGATCTCCCAGGTTCATGAACCTTTTGTCTCAGTCTACTCTCTATAAATCTATCTCACCCTCCATTCACACTGCAAAATTCAATACTATCAAACAGAACAAAGATTAAAAAAAAAGATTCTTCAAATTTTAATTCATCTCTCTTTTATTATGGCTGTAGAATCCGACTATGCTTTTCTTGAATCGATAACGCAATACTTACTAGAAGAATCAGAGGCACGACTCACCGAGTCGATGGTGGCGCAATCTAATACGATGGTTCATAACGTGAAACCAGTGTACGGACGAAACTCGAGCTTCAGCAAGTTGTATCCTTGTTTCTCCGACAGCTGGGGAGACTTGCCGTTGAAAGAAAACGACTCGGAGGACATGTTAGTCTACGGTATCCTCAACGACGCTTTTCACGGCGGTTGGGAACCGTCTTCTTCATCCTCAGACGAAGATCTGACCTCTTTGACGGCGGTTAAAACCGAGACGGTGGATTCTGTTCAAGCGCCGGCGAAGGGGAAGCATTATAGAGGAGTGAGGCAGAGGCCGTGGGGGAAGTTCGCGGCGGAGATAAGGGATCCGGCGAAGAACGGAGCTAGAGTTTGGTTGGGGACGTTCGAGACGGCGGAGGACGCGGCGTTGGCTTACGACAGAGCTGCTTTTAGGATGCGTGGCTCACGCGCTTTGTTGAATTTCCCGTTGAGGGTTAACTCGGGAGAGCCCGACCCGGTTCGGATTAGGTCCAAGAGAGGTTCTTCTTCCGAAAACGGAGCTCCGAAGCGGAGGAGAACGGTGGCTTCCGGTCAAGGAACGGATATGGGATTGAAGGTTAAGTGTGAAGTCGTGTAAGTGATACGTGGACGTCAGTTATTGGTTTGTAGTTTTGAATTGTCTGTTAAAATCATTTTTCCGCGGAAAGGTGGTGGACAAAATGCATTGGGTGGGAAAGAAAAAAAATATCAAGAACAAAATATTCATTTTTTTTTTTTTTTGCCAGCTTGATTTCTTAGATATTTAAACTTTCTCCGCGAAAATTCAAATCTATTTTAATCGAAATAAGATAAAATTAATTACTCTAAACTTAAAAAAATCTTAGTGGGATCAAAAAGTAATATAAGCAAAAAATGTCCTCACGGTTTTGTAATTAGTTCTCTCGTTAGATAATAACAATATTTAAAGATATTTGAGTTTTTATCATAATTAAAAGTCATATATATATGGCGTATTGTTTTTTCTTACATCATATATGACGTATTGTTAATGTAATCACTTTCAGATGTGACAAATTTTACAAAGAAGTATAAAACCCAATTACTGGAGAAGAAGACACTGTCACTTAACTAATTAACTACTAAAAACCATCAAACAAACTGATACAAACATACGACCAAACACGATGATCTAACAGAAAGCTACCCGCCACAATATTATTATTTGTTAGAAAGACTGTCTCTATCGTATATATTAATTTAAACATAATCGAGATTGGGCAAAGTGGCTTGTACAATAGTAATCTCAGCACTGGTTTGTAGTTTGTACTATGTGATTTTGGAATTGTAACAAAGAGATAAGCCCAACAAAACCATACATAGGATCTCACTCTCACAAGTGCTGCTCTCTTCACATTCCAACTTTTGTTTCTTCTACAAGTGTCTGTCAGAAGATTTGGTTGCATTGCTTTGTAAATTCTTGTGTTTAAGTTAATAAGCAAAGATTTTCATGTCATTACATTGATTCAAGGTAATTCTTCTCTTTTTTTACATCGTCTTCTAGCTTTGCATCACAGCAACTAATAACAAGATGAAACAAATAGCTTATTCTCAATATTTTATACTGCAGTGATGCAATCTGAATCGATTAAAATAAACTTATCCAGTTTGCTGGCTTCTTATGTTGGAAAAGTATGGCGACTAGTTCAATTAGTTTCAATACGAGTCGATACATCGTACTGTATTATATGTTTCGGTAAGGCAAGCAATGCACTCTTAAAACCATGATCATAAACTCTATAAGATTTTTCAGAAACCAAAAAAAAAAAGAAGATTCAGAATGCAGTAAAACATAATCCACCTAGATATAAAATCAGCGTGGATAATTAAGTCATAAACTCTAAACAAGACTACTGGTCTTTGCTTCTAGAAGAAAAACATCAGGTTCTCTTAGAGATGGCTATCACATTGAAGTTGAGCGTGTCCGGATTCTTCTCAATAAACTTCTTCATCACTTTTGTCGAATCCTGTAAGTTTAATAATATCACTCGATTATAAAGGAGGTTTCAAAAATACAAAAGAACCACTAGCACACTCCCAGAATGTTTCAAGAGTTCTAAAGACTGGAAGGTTTTATAGTGTACCTTCAAGAGGGTAGCCGGAGAGGAAGCTCCATGTGAAATCGGTCCTGCTTTCCTTCCGTCAAGTTCATAGAGCTCACCTGCATAATAAGCAAATACCAATATGGAGAAGAGTTTGATGATATCAGTATTCTGATTATTTGTTGAAGTGAGAGTTTCTTACCATCAACACAAGCTAAACAGATGAAATGCGTGTCTGCGTCGTCTGTAGCCTGAAGACATGGGAGAAGTTAAAATATCAAATGTAACACACTAACATCTAAATGAACATGTTCGCATATTCCTATACATTAAACACTAATATGAGAGGTGGGAAGTTACCGGTGTTTCACCAGCTGTAACTGCTACAGAATGAGCATCTTCAATTTGACTGTCATTCTCAAGAAACTTTGCACGCTATCAAAATCACCAAAACAAACATTAACCATGAAGAAAATACTTATATAGTCAAATCCAAAGAAAAAAAATAAGATAGAGAAACCTCCATAGGAGTCATGTTGGCAGTGGATTTGAAGAAATTATCCAAGAAAGATCCCTCAGCTATAAAAAAAAGTAACAAGAAAGTGTTGATAATCTTTAAGAATTTATATTTAAAGATATACACATTAACAAACTTACAAAGCTTTATTTCAGAAGTAATGTTCCCAATAGCATGGAGAAGTCCAATGGTTCCACAAGCATTACCCACGGTTTGTTTCATGAAATAAACCTTATCACTATGCACCTATTCATCCACATCACACAGAACCAATAATGAGATTTATGTTAACTGAAAACAAAAGCTCTAGTTTCATAAAGAAACTCACCTTCTCCATGAGTTCCTTGTCCTGCTCAATCCTCTCTTCTTCACTCTATAAACACCAAAATCACAAGACTTTAAAATCAATACAATATTCAGATTCAAAGATGAGTTTCAATTGATTGATTACCTTTTTGGTGATGGGGTAAAGGAAGAGAACCGCAAGAACAGGCTTTGGAACCATCTCGAGAAGTTCGTCATCTAATCCAAACACATCATTACACTCAGCTGCATCTGGTGCGAGACCAAGACCCCAAAGAAACTATACATACACCAATACAAATCAAAATCACTAAACCTGACCTAGAATCTTCCCAATTCAGAAACGCTGATGACCTTAAAAGAAGCAAGTTGCAAGGGGAAAGTGAGAGCAATACCTGATTCATAACCTCTGGGTTCGCTTCAAGAGGAAGCCATCTCTTAGCTGAAGAACTCTCCGTCGTCATATTCGTGATCGTCTTTTCTTTCTGATTTTTTTTTGCACAACAAATCAATAACTCTTCGACTCTTATAAGAAACGAATAACGAAGCTATTAACGGGCCTCGCCCAATTAGTCCTTTTAAAAAGCCTACTTTCGTTTAATTCATCGTACGGTGAATAAAAGGCGCTGATTTTGTTTACGGTGCAGCTTTATACAGAGGATAGCACACTCGGCCGAATATTAGTGACCCGGCCCAATAAGAGTGTAGGGTGAGTAGATTAGAATCTCATAGAGAATGAACGGTGTGGATTTCTCCTACAGTACAGTCAAGCGCAGAGGATACAACCTCATTTTGAGGTTTTATAAAGATTAGGTTTTCGGATGGAAAGTCTTGTGCAGCCTTTGGCTAGGGTTTTGGTACTTATCTATCTTACCGCAGCTTCTTCCTCCCCAACACTTTGTTTGGGTGTCTTAACAACAGTGTCCGAACCATATCTTCGGTTTTCTGATTCTTATTTTTTTCTTACATTCAAAAACAAAACCCTCAACCTCGGGTACTAGTTGGTGTTGAGAAATGACGACTTTGAACCCTTTCGATCTCTTGGACGATGACACAGAGGATCCCACTCTGCTCGCTGCTGCTAAGCCATTGAAGGTTGAGAAAGCTGCTCCAGCTCAGCCCGCTAAGCTGCCCACTAAGCCCACTCCTCCTTCTCAAGCTGGTATATGCTCTCTCTTTTGATTTGGATTATGAATTCGAACTTGTTGACATTCTTTCAAATGATTTGGTAGTTGGTAGTAGATTTATCTAGTTTGATTTTGATTGGTCGTTGTAGATTCAGGGATATGAATTAGTTTATTTGTTAGCTTTTATTGAAAATGTTAAGGTTCTCTTATGTATATAGTTTAATTGATTAGATGTTATGTTTTCTTTTGACTAGTGAGGGAAGCCAAGAACAGTGGTCGTGGAGGTCGGGATGGTGGAGTACGTGGTGGTCGTGGAGGAGGTCGCGATGGTGGTGGCCGTGGCAGAGGTGGTGGATTCAACAGGGAGTCTAGGAACAGTGATGCTCCTGCTAATGAGAACGGGTATGTTGGAGGGTACAGACGCTCTGAAGGAGGAGATGCAGGGAGACGTGGTGGATACCGTGGACGCGGTGGTCGCCATGGAGATTCTGGTGACTTGGAGCGCCCAAGAAGGAACTTTGAGCGTCACAGTGGAACCGGTCACGGGTAAGCAGGCTTCTTTCATTGTCTATCATTAGCATTATTACAGTTTATCTTGCGGGGTTTGTAATTGTATAACTTTTTATTGAGCAGAAATGAGTTCAAACGTGATGGAGCTGGCCGTGGCAACTGGGGAACCATTGAGGATGAGATTCCTCCGTAAGTTTTTGACATTTGTTTCATTTGGTTACTGTTTGATTGGTGTCTTGAAAATGATGTCATTGTGTTGTAATCGATAGGGTGACTGAAGAATCCACAACAGTGGTGGAGAAGGATTTGGCTGTTGAGAAGGAAGGTGAAGCAGCTGATGCAAGCAAAGAGGCACCTGTTGAAGCTGAAGCTGAGAAAGAGCCTGAGGACAAGGTACATTTTCTATCTTTTGAATTCTTCTCTCAGCATGTGAACTTTTTATGCAAAAGGTGTGATTTCCTGTGTGTAGGAGATGACTCTAGAAGAGTACGAGAAGGTTATGGAAGAGAAGAGGAAAGCCCTGCAGGCAACCAAGGTTGAGGAGAGGAAGGTTGACACAAAAGCATTTGAGTCAATGCAACAGCTCTCTAGCAAAAAGAGCAACAACGATGAGGTCTTCATCAAACTGGTGGGTTATCTGAGTTCTTCTTTATATTATTTTGATGTTGGTAATCTTTAATTATTGTCGAGTGTGTACTTATTTGAACCTTGAAATTGTGTTGTTATCAGGGAACAGAGAAGGACAAACGTCCAGTTGAGAAGGAAGAGAAGACCAAGAAGGTCGCTACTCTACTGCTGTTTTCCCGTTTAAGTAGCTTACTAAGGATTTTTAATCATATTCATTCAAATTATTTCTCATGTTTATATGTTTATGTGATAATTGTAGTCCTTGACCATAAATGAGTTTCTGAAACCTGCCAATGGAGAGAGGTACAGAGGTGGTGGTTACCGTGGAGGAAGGGGTCGTGGACCAAGAGGAGGCGATGAGGGAGGACGTGGACCAAGAGGTGGAGCCGAGGGAGGACGTGGACCAAGAGGAGGAGCTGACAGAAAGGCTGCTGCACCTGCACCAGCACCAAAGATTGAAGACGCTGCACACTTCCCTACTCTGGGAAAGTAAGGCTCTCCGGTTTAGTCCTTCAGCATCTGTTTGGTCTTTTTCGTTTTAGTAATCTCTCACCCGGTTTGGTTTTTGTTCTTCTGATTTCATTGTTATTGTCATACTCGCTGAAGGCTTTTTGTTCTATGATGAACCCTTGTTTTGGGACTTTTTTGGTTAAGTTAAAAATGAGGCAGAAAAAAAATCAATTCTTCATCAAAGTTTGTTTTATAATCTTCTAGCTTTAATAAAAGAAAAACCCACCACTTAGCATTGATTATTACGACGACCTTTTACTAAAGAACCGAGCTTGGTGTTTCCACGTACATAACAAAGAATTTAGAAGCTTTTGGACATAAAATTACTGGAAAAACAAGCACAGACGATGAAGAAACAACAGATGTTGAGGTGTCCTACAAGCAAACAAATGAGTTAATATATAGATGGTTAAGTGTTAGCGCATTAAGAAGAGCAGCAGCCTGATTGCTGGTTTACAGGTTGTCCACGGATCTGGACCGTTGAAGGCTTAGATCCACCAGCAGGTTGGCTCGCCATTCTGAACAAAAAAAAAAAACAAATCGAGTTAAGGCTACCACAATCTATGAGCTCTGACAATGAGTTGATGTCACTAACTAATTCTGTGAGTATTACCTTGTCTTGATTGCAGCGGTCATGGCCATGAAAGCTTCTTCGACATTGGTAGCATTCTTGGCACTTGTTTCCAGGAATGGGATGCCAAGTTCATCTGCGAAAGCCTGGTGTTGGCAGAACAAAAAACATTATAGTAAAAACCTTTAGTTAAGAGCCTTAGCTGTGAAGCACATAACGGATATTACCTGAGCTGTCTCAGTGGATACAACTTTCTGGGACGTGAGATCGTTCTTGTTCCCAACAAGTAGCTTGTTCACATTCTCACTGGCGTAGCGGTCGATTTCATTTAGCCATTGCTTGACATTGTTAAAGCTTTCTTGGTCTGTTACATCGTAAGTCACCTGACAAAAAGTTTGATAAGGATTCAGAGTTTGATTGATGGATGTCAATTAACAGTGGAGATAATGTTAAGTGTGATAATGAGCATACAATGATTCCATGAGCTCCTCTGTAGTAACTGCTAGTGATGGTTCTGAAACGTTCTTGACCTGCCGTATCCCACTGCATATTTATGATGGTGATAAGGAGAGTGATCATTATATGCACATATATTAAGCAATTGTGAATTTGAGTCATGTGGACACGAATTAGGAGAAACTTACAATCTGGAGTTTGATGGTCTTCCCATCTTGCTCGACTGTGCGGATTTTCTGCAAAAGATCATTACAGAAATGAGAACTTTAATGATTAATGATGCATAAGAAGTGGATAAGTGAAAGAGTAGGCTTACAAAGTCAACACCAATGGTACTGATGTAGCTATCGAGGTAGGAATCATCCTACACATAAAAAAAAAATCAAGACACCACTTTAACAGAGTAACAATGGGACTTAGTAGAGAAGCATATAACTGTATTCAAATACCATAGAGGCAGTTTAAGCTATGCGCTACATGTAATGGTGTACTGTACATATCTAATCCTCAGAAAATCGTTGTGGCGAATATAAAAGAGAGAGGCAGAAAGATATGGAATGACTTACAGCAAACCTTAGAAGCAAGCAAGACTTGCCAACACCAGAATCACCAATAAGCAAAAGCTTGAAGAGATAGTCACTGCAACATCAAAAGAATTGAAATAAGCATAAGCCACCATGTAAAGAAGATAAACTAACTCGATCATTCTCTAGCGAAGCGAGTTATTCAAAAAGAAAACATCATGTGAGAAGATTTTGAGAAGAAGCTCATAAACTCAAAACGCAATCTCAAGCTCTATAATCCAAATCGCTCACATCCTATAATTTCATTTTTATTTCTTCACAGATCTAAATCAAAATACGATCCACGAAATCGATCAAACCAGAATAACAAAGCCTTTAATCAAACGATAATTGCTAAGATTCTCCAGCTAAAAACATAATCCGAAGATAATCAAGTACAAACTAAACCACAAAACACGTTATAAAATTAAAAAAATGTTAAATCGGTTCTGGAGGATAGGAGAAATTACTATTCAGGATTCATGGTTGATCTCGTAGCTGGATCGATCTACCGGTGAGAACGGCGAGTAGTTGCCGACGATAAACAGAGGATACAGCCGGTGAGGAACGACTGAGAGAGAGAGAGAGACGTAAACGATCGTTGTTTTGTGTCGACGGACCACGACGTGGTTAAGAAATAAGAAAAGTCCACACACGATGGTTCACTCATGTAAATACTTCTCTTTCTCTCTGTTGATTTTGCTGACGTGTCATCTCCAACCCAGAAAATGCGTGGAGGAGAGAATGTTTCAAATTTCTGTCTTTTTTGCAAAATGTAAATTGTTTGTTTTCTTTTTGTGTGTGATATTTCAAAATATAATATGTTTTCAAGTATATTTAACTTTTAAAAAACAAATATATTTTGTTTGTGTTTTTAGGTTGTAGCTACAAGATCATACTACATTTTAATATACAGAGAATGTTTAATTATGCTATTAAGTCGAATTTAATTTGATTTTGTTCAACAAATCTATTTTTTTTTTTGTTCAAACAAATCTATTTCTTTTTATTACTACAGTAATGGGCTTTAAATCTTAAAGCTAAGGCCCATTTCTTATTTTCTAATCAACCGTAGAAAAATTGGCTAACCTTGACTTGAATCATCTTCTCACTCTCACTTACTCAACAATTCGGTAACCATTGGAAATGGTGGGAATCAGGCGGGAAACAATAGCAGTGGAGTATTATTCTTAGCTTCTGGAACTCCCTCTATTGTATATTCAATTTAGCTAGAGAGAGATGGAGGGAAGCGGGTTAGGCAGCGGCGGCGGTGGAAGAATCAGCAGCAACGGTGTGGTGATGAAGAAGGAAGGATTAGGGTTTTCTACTGAGGGATTCAGATTAGAGAATCCTTTCGCTTTCAAAGCTCTTCAGGTCTTCACGGGATTCGGCGTGGGTTGTGGAGTTGGAATCGGAAGTGGCGCTCCTTTAAATCTCGGTATAATTAATACTTTCTCTTCCTTTTAGCTGTGTTTCTTGAGGTCTGAGGAGAACTAGAATGGCGAATTAGGTTAATATCTTGATTGAAATCTATCAGCTTGAGATGCCCTGACATTTGATGATTATGGTGTTAACTGTTAAGCTATCGTTCATAGTCCGAAACAGTGTGTCATTGCTATGTGAATTGGTCTTTGGCTCTTTGTGGTTTAATGTAGCACACAGCATCATGCTTGTGATTTCACTACTCTGTATTGTTGTTGTTTATATATATCAGGTAGTATTCCGATGGTGGGGGAAGTTATGAGTGCAGCTAGAGGAGCAACCACTGCTTTTTCTGGGGCCACCCACCACGTCAATGATGCTGTATATCACTAGACAAACCTTGTCTCTTTCTTGATGCTATCTTCTTCTTTAATCTGCTTATGTACTTTTGCTTTCTTTAGTTGAGGAAGATGGGAGCTCGGAACATTAAAGCTGGTGTTGGATGTGGAGTTGGCTTCGGTCATGGTTTTGGAGTCGGTATGACTTCTGTTTTGTTGCAAAGCATTCATAACCTTCTGGTTGTTTACTTTCTGAAAGGTCAACTCTTTTTGAGTTATTTGGATTTTTTCGTTGTGTAAGCATCCCTTGAGTTGCTTGTTTGGGCTATCACTGTCTAGTGATCATCAACTGTTATCTATCGTTGACAGGCATCGCAGTGAAACCAAGTGCCATACACAAACTTCAAGCTTCTATTATGGTAAGCACAAATCTTTTAAACACGTGTACTTCATGATGAGTTTGTTCACTCACATGAAACCACGGGTTTGAATCTTTCAAGGGAACTGCGTCCAGCTTGATGGCAAAACTCGGAAGAACGAGCGAGACCACCACAAGTCAAAACGAGATAGATGACCAGGCGACTCAATCTCTGACGGAAGTCAAGAAACATGTGGAAACAAAAGCATCTTACAAGAACAGTGGTTCTTCTAATGACCCAAGACCGTTTGGTACTCGAACTGAAAAAGTAATCAACAGTTTCCTCGACAACCCGATTCTAAAACAACAGGAGACAACAACTGCAGAAGAACGACAGGTAACGCTTCAGTCACAGAATGTTTCTCCTTCTCCGTCTCTGCTTTGATTGTTGAACTTCCTTTTGTTTCATAACGTTGGCAGGTCACACAATTAGAATCAGAGAGCTTAATGCTTCAAATGGTAATGTCTCGTTCTCAACGTCAAGTTCTGTTTATTCGTGTATTCGTCAATGATTTATATATTAACGTAATTCGACTGTGTAGGTGCTGAAACATCAAAAACTCGTGAACGAACTGATGGAAGAGAATGAAAAGCTTCGAAGGATAATCATAGAAGATCTCAAAGTTTCACCCGAAAAGCTCAAATCAGTTTCATCTTACGTGTACGAATCACCATGCAAAGATTGCTTCGAATGTCGTAGAAAACAGAGAAAAAGTAGATGAAGAATGATGTAAACCAATTCCTTCACTTTTTTTTTATGAAATACAAAACTCACAATAGCAGACAAATCACAGAATACAATGAACTGTAAGTTCCTCTGCAAACCTTTGGTTATTACATAACAGAAACTCTTGCGCAAATAATGGATCTTGTTTACACAGACTCTCCAGCTACTCTCTTCACCATCATCTTCTGTCGTCTAAGAGTGGTTCAGATGCAGGAACTGCAAAACAAACGAAGATAAAGTCAGATCTGCAAATACAGTAAGAAAAGGGGTTTGGTTTATTACCTTCATCAACATATCCAAGTTTCTCTCTAATTTCAGCAATAACCAGACGTGTCAAAAGCAACCCAGCACAAAGAGCCCCAACGACCAACATATAAAACACAGCATGCCAACCCAATGTCGAAAGAAACCCTGTCAAAAGAGGACCCAAAGCCGCACCAGCAGAACCAGTCCCATCTATAATAGCAGTCACAGTGGCAAGAGCCCTCGAGTCGCCTTGTAAAGACTTGTGCGTTCCGAGATCAGCTGAGACTGCGGTTGTGATGAGTGCATAAGGTCCATTGACAAACAAACCAGCAACCATCATGAGAACGATGTTGACTGTCTGAGAGACACCTCCATAAGAATGGTACACAAGCATCGCCGGAATCGCAGCGTACATGAACGTTGCTGCAGTTGTAGCTCTTGCTTTGAACTTATCTGAAATGTAGCCAGCAAGAATCCCTCCTGCAATGCCTCCAACATCAAATAGCGTGGAGAGGTTTCCTGCTGTTTTCACAGACATATACTCTCCACCAATAGCTGCAAATACAAAAGAAAACATGTAAGAACATTCTCCAAAACTCTCTGGATTTAACTATCAAAACAACTTACTTGTTTGGCTTAGATAAAACGGTAACCAGTATAAGAACGTATACGCGACCAACTTCGAGAAGAAGAGACATAGAGCAAATGGTATAACACCAGGAATCATACAAGCTTGCAAAAGCCCAACACCTGTTTTATTCTCATACCCTGGTCCTGAACCCTCCTCCTCCACTGCGCCTTCAACATCTACTTCTTCTTCTTCTTCTTCTTCTTCAATGTTTCGTTTCCTCTTAATAAACTTACCAGAGTTAGAATTGATATCTGGAAACCCAACATCTTCCGGATAAGCAGCCAAGAACAAGTAAACAAGAACTCCACCTAAAGACATGACAAAACCAGGAGCTATAAAAGACCAACCCCAACCATAATCAAGAACACCAGCAGCTATCAAAGAACCACAGATATTCCCAACAGAAGTATGAGCATTCCAAATCCCCATTATAAGCCCTCTCTTCCTCTTCCCAAACCAGTTCCCAACCACAGCCACAACAGACGGCCAACCCGTCGCCTGAAACAACCCAGCCGCCATTTGCATCACAAGAAAGAACCAAAACGCATGAACGTCCCAGAAATAACCCATCCCAAACAGCCCCACGAAGAACCCACTCCCAATCATTCCCCAAGCCAGAAACAACCTCAGATCCAAACTATCACCCAAATGTCCAGCAACATACATTCCTAACGAGTAACAAGCGAGAAACGCCACGTCGATCTCTCCCAACCTCGAGGTACCATCTTTCCCATTAAACGGTTCCCATCCTTTACTACGATCATGATTTACATCGGTTTCTTCTTCCTTCACGAACACGTTTCCCAAAGGCCAAGGATACTTGTTGTTGGCATGTTGTTGCGGTGGTGGCTTAGTGCTTGGCTCTGGGTGTAAAACGCTTTTAACTATGCTGCTTGGTTTTCGAGAAGCGTGGTAACAAGCGTACGCGATGAAAGTGATGAACAGGATTGCGTAACGAAACGTCTTTGGACTCCAGTTTCTTCCTCTGATCCTCCTCAGAAGTAGAATCCCAGGTGGTGTTTTCCTCTTCGAACCCATCGCCATTTTTACGAACACAAGTTTTTTTTTTAACAATAATTGGTATAAAAATTCAAACTTTTTTTTTTGCTTAAAGAAAAATTCAAACTTTACGGATTTAAAATCAAATACCCAAATCCATGTTTCTTTCTGTGTGTTTTGAGAAATTAGAATCACGGATTAATTTGATTGAGAGAGAGATGTTGGCTGGAGAGAGAGAGAAAGAGGATGTTAATGTGTTAATATATGACACGTGTTCTCCTCGTTACGACAGAACCAAAAGACATGCAGTTGTTACGCCACGTTGACCACTTTGATTCGCAGGAAGCGACGGCGTGTGACCGATTAAGCCTGCTGTGTGGTCAGTAAATTCATCGAATATAGAACGGATTGATTTGATTTTTTTTTTTTCTATTTTTCATAAACATCACCATGGAAACTGTGCATTCGGTTACTGCATAGCACCTAAACACTGTCTAAAGAAACATCTAGACCGGTACCGATTAATAATATAAGAAGCTTGATATAATCTGAACTGCATTTTACTTACCATTGTAGGCTCTGTAGCAATTGCAAAAGCTATAATCAAAATATTTATCAAACCTTTATATATAGACCTTATAAGTAGGTACTAATAAGCGCAAAAGTGTTTTTTTTTGTGTGTGTGTACTTATATATCAGTTGAAACATGTATCAGTTGAAGTGATGAAATCTAAGACAAGAAAACATATGCATAACACAAATATATTAACGATCAGAAAGAAGATAGAGCATAAAAGCAGCATATTAAGTTTAAAACCAAAAAGATAATCCTCGATTGTATCTAATTAACAGGTGATATCCGGGAAGAACCATCGAGCATGGGAGAAGCCTACCGAGGAGACAACCGATTGTGGCAAATGCTCTGTGGTTCGGGTGCCGAGATCATAGACAAATATATGGTCCGGATCCTTTTTGTAATGATCGCTACCACTGAAGTAGATAGAGTTTCTCTTCAGCCCTGCAGGGATGATATCTTTGGCGACAACAGTGAAACCCATGTCGAGGATTAGAGCCTCATCACCTAAATCATCCGCTTTTTCCCAACTCGTCGTCAGAGGATCGTACTCGAAGATGCGAAACTGCCATATGGAGTCCTGCACCATACAAGTTACAACCAGAACTTGTCCAGATACTCTGGTTGCAATCATTCTTCTAAAGTAAAAATACTTACTCAACTCGACTGTGCCTTCATCGAAAAGGTCATATATCGCGACGTCAAAAGGTAAAAGATTCTGATTTTCTTTTGGGATGTCATCAGAGAAATCCCAAACAAAGACTATCCAAGATAATTCGGTAGTAAAGTAGACCTTGTGATCTTTGCAGTTATAGACAATTTGTTTAGGTTCTCCAACGCGATCAGTGCTAGCGGTTCTCCACCTGCCATCACCTTTCCTAGTGTAGACCATATGGTCATACAAGACCCAAAGGACTAGGTAATTTCTGGTTATGTTGTCTACCCAGAGACAAGCTAGGCGTGGTTGTCTGATCAAGTGTTTAGATAAGGAATAGTACTGTGGTAGATCAATTCTCTCTAACGTCAATGGATTAATAATGTATAGATTCCGAACGTGGTCTCGCATCAAGAGCCAGCTACCGTAACTCGCAACACAACGGCTTCGTGTGAAGTTAGCACCGAGATCTCGTGTCTTGTAAATGTTGTCTTTATCATCTGGAACGAATAAAGCACAACTATTATTGTTACTATTGGTTTGGTTCTCTTGTGGGAAGAGTATCAGCCACGGAATCTGATTTCGCTTGGGGGTGCAGCTTCTCCAAGCAGAGTTCCATGACTTACAAACTGACTTAGCTCGCACGAGATTTGTGAAACTCAATAGTTCGAAAACACTTCGTAGCAAGTCCGGACAAAGATCCGACCAGGTGGAGATCACCGGAGGATGACTCGGTTTGTTCTCGCTCTCATCCATCAGTGAACTTTGTTTGATACGCAAAAGATTTTTTGGTCAAGAGGCCCCACTTCCGTATTTATAAATGATCCCTAGAGAAGACCTAGGGTTTATATAACTATTTATCTTGAATAATATCCTTTAACTCAGAAATACAATCTTTCTTTTACTTCCATAACTTTTTTAAAATTCAATCACAAATAAAAACTACGTAGATTAAATACTGTTAGGGATTCAATGATTTATTATCTAGTAAATATGTTTAAGAGATTAGATAATCTTATATATTAAAACAGAAGTCATGACTTGATTTCATGTGTGATTTTTTAAAAAATGGACTGTTACTAGAAAGTTATGTTATATTAACTCTCTAATAATATTATCATTATTTTATCTTATAATATGCTTAACAATTTTGTTTTGGTAAATTACCCTACACCTTCCAACTTAGTCACGCAAAATATGTCAATAGATATAAATTTAGGAATCTTCTATTATTTATAAGGAAATATGTCAATAATAGTTAAATGCATCCAAAATATATTAACAAAAATCACAGATTATTAATATGTAATATTTATATAA